CTATGAGATTTAATTTAAAAAAAAAAAAAAAAAAAAAAGTAAAATAAAAAAAATACACAAAATGGCAAAGGGAGGGTTTCTGAAATAAAAAAATAAAGGTAAAGAGATGATGGTTGGAACAAAATGTTCCGGAAGAAAGCTGTTCCCTTGGGGTTTCTTTTCTTTAAGCTTTGCATATTACAATTTGAAATTTTTGTAAAGAGATCCCCATTTTATATTCACACTGGTAGCCTGAATTTAAATATCTCTCTCACCTGAGATTAATACAGGCTTCACCCTGAATTACTTCCCAGCTCTGAAGTACAGCTCTAGAGAGCTCAACTCTCCACAAATTCACTTCTCTTTTAGAGGCATAAAAGCTTAGGAAATATATGAAATATTAAAAGAGCGTGTGTGCCGGGGCAGAGAGGGGGAGAGGGAAGGCTTGGTCATGGGGGGGCCCCTTTGATATGAAAACCCACTTTCCCTCAAATGAAAGCACAGATGTGCTGGCACAGGACTCTAAAGACAAAGATTTGAGCCCAAAGACGACGCCTCCTTGTTTTATTTTGTGATTGTGAAGCCCTGCACAAGGAGCAGGATGCAAGCTATGTCACGCACAAAAGACATCAGCATTTCCATCGGCAATAGAAAATATCAAGTTTCTCCAGAGCAAAACAACAAATGAGGTTATAAACAAACTTGAAAGCACAGCTCCCTATAGCGCCAACTCAGTATTAACCAAATGCACGTGATGGGGGGAAAGCACCTTGCACGTGCTCAGGACCCATTAGCTAATTGCTGTAGAAATCTGACATTCTATATCATGATTTAACCCTCAGGCCCCAGGGTCATTGCTCCACCTGGGCTCTCTGCATTTCTTCTGCTATCACAGCCGTGGTTTCTCCACCCAAGGAGATTGGTGCAAACTGAAACCTTCCATTCTCCGCGTCTACGAAGCAAAGGGATGTAAGGTTTTCCCTTGGCAGACAATCCCAGAATGGCTGGGGTCAGAAATGACAGCAGGTCCGTCTGGTCCACCCAAGGACTACACAGAGCATGGTGCTGTGAGCCATCAGCAGAAGATACAGCACACAGCCTAGGAGCTGCAGACACCAGCACCACCTCCGGGCACTCTGCATGCCCAGCTGTGATGGCTCCTCCAAGCACTGCTGGTTCCTGACCCACACCATAGCTCTTGCCTCCATCCCTCCTGTCCCAGACTATAATTCCTGCTCCAATGGTCAGGTTTTCGTTTCATCCATCTCCTTTTAGATTCTACCTGAGCTTTGCTTGTGGGCACTTAATGCCATGGGCACAGCATGCACTGTGATGCTCCACAGCCATCAGAGAGTTTGGGCTGCACTCATGACCACCACAGCAACCTTCCCTTGAACATATGCTGCTCAAGAGACATCAGTGCTAGGAATACCACCTCTTCTTGCTCCCTGCAGTCTCCAAGGTGTGCAGGACACCCTGCACCATGATTACCCCAAAAGCCACTAGGTTCACAAGCCAAACTCAAAGACAAAACCAAACCCAACAGGGATGCAGTGAGTATGAACACCAACACTAACCAAGCCCAGGTCCACTTTGGGATGTCCCAGCTGGATGTTCTCCATGCAGTTATCACCACCAGCTCTACAGCCCAATGCCTCACAAGCAGCAGCTTGCCATGGCTGCCAGACCCAAGCTGTGATGTGTCAGTGATGGCACAAGGCTTGGCTTTGCTGCTTTGCCCCCTGAAGCTGCATTCCCTGTGCACGTGGGTGTGCATGCGTGCATGGTTCTGTTTGAGAGGAGCCGGCTGCTGCAGCAGAAGGACTTCTGTGCAGCTCTCCCTTCTGTCAGCTGCAATAAATTTCTTCGCTAGTGCTTCTCCTCTGAATCGAATATAGTTTATTTCATTTTAAAAGTCCTTTTTTTTTTTTTTTTTTTTTTTTTTTCATTTCAGGAAAATGAATGTTAGAGCCAGATAAGAAACTATAGTCTGCTTTCAAGAAGGTTACAAGAAAACTGCATCTTGCATTACTAATCCTTTATCTTTCATGTTAACAAAAAGATTACTGACATATTTTTGAATGAAAGAAAATAAAATAGCAAATGCATCTAAAGAACTGTGTAACTTTCATGCAACACACAAATCGGTTGTTAAACGTGGAGAAAAAAAAGGAGGGGAATGAAGGGAAGATTCATAATACATTTCCCTTTGTAAAGTGAGCAAACCAACTTTCTATAATAAGGGAAACTACTGGAGGATTGGAGGAGGCTCCTTTCATACACGGAGAACAATGTTGCTTTTAACTGGAGGCTGGTTTTGGGGGGTGGAGGGGGAAACATCCCCTGCTGGGGTCTCCAGAGGGGGTTTGGGAGGTGCTATGGGATGGGCTGCATGGACCCAAGTCCCCCAGCCCCATCCATAAGTTTTGGCCTAGAGGAGCCATTGGTATGGCAAAAATCAGGTATGGGATGAGAAATATCAGGTATGGGGTGACGAAAATCAGCTATGGGGTCACACCACGTGGAACACCTCCAGCTGCCATGGGGACATGTGCAGTGGCCCCACAGAAAGAGCTGTGCCCTGATCTCAGCCCTGATCTTCCCTGCTTTGGCACACGGCGCTTCATTAGGAAACCCATAATTGAATTCCCTGACCATTCAGTTCTAAAACCCTTTTGATTGAGAATTAGTTAATTACATTGAGCCCAGTATATTCCTTGCTAGAAATTTTGCCCATGTTCCCCAGATATGCAACGGTGGGCTCTGCTTGCACTGTGTCCTTTGAAATGCATTTAGGACCTCTGAATCTCTCCCCTCTTAACGACGCACTGTTCGTTAATAAGTGGCCATAACACCTCCCCATTAGGAAATAGCTGTCTGCCATTTGCTTAGGCTGGAACAGGTAATAATCCCAATGTACTGGATCATGTTGTAGAATGAATGGGGATATTTACGAGATGGGCACATTGGTGTCATTCTAATGAGATGATTTCCTAACCCCAAAAATGCCAGGTCTGGGAACCCAGGCAGGAACACTGCCCTCATTATCTTCTCCTCTCAAAGATCTCCTTCTCCCTCCAAACCTAAAGCAATCGTTTGCACTCCGATTTCAGTCCTACCAATGGAGAACCAATGGGACGTGGTTAGTGGGGATGGTGGGAATGGGTTTGTGGTAGGACCTGATCATCTTAGAAGTCTTTTCCAACCTTAAAGATTCTATGATTCTATGAAAATACTCCTCAATTGCTCTGTTTTGCTTTGATTGCTTTCTAAAGCCCCACCTCCCCAAGCACTGCTTTACTTGCACATCTCGTTTGCATCGTTCCCCCTGTGCACTGCTCCATTTGCACCTTGCCCTCACTCGTACATTGCTTCCATTGCATTGAGAACTATTGGTGATCAGTGGATGGTTGGACTGAGTGATCCTGTAGGTCTTTCCTAGCCTTGGTGATTCTATGATTCTATAACTCATTAGCCTCATTTGCACACTGCTCTGTTTGCATAAGCCTGTGCTTGCACCTACCTCTACCTGCACATCATTCCACTTGCACGTGGTTGGGCTTGCACATCACACTGCTTGCACATTATTCTACTGGCACATGGCTCTGCTTGCACATCATCCTGCCTGCATGTCCCTGGCTTGCAAACTACTCCTCTTGCACATCACTTGCAAAGTCTTGCCTCTTGCATTTGCTTCTATTGCCCTCTGCTGGGGACTGTCAAAGGGACAGCTGATCCCTCGAGTGCTGTGCCTTTCTCTCTCCATCTCCCTCTGCGATTGTAGGGGAACTCCAAGCTGGGGTGTTTAACACAGGGCATGGAGCAGCTTGGCTCTGCCTCTGAATCTGCTTTGCATGGCTTGAAAGCATGCTGTCAAGACTGCCTAGCTATGGTCCAAGGACTGTAACGTAGGGGAAGGTATGTAGCAGCAGGACAGACAGACAGGGGACAGACAGACAGACAGGACAGAGGAGGGGACAGATGCCCACCCTGCAGCTTCTGCTGTGAGAAGTCCTGGCGTGCTTGCTGGATTAGGGATGATAGAGGAGAGGAGCGCCTTATAGAAATTAATTCCCAAAGTGTAATTAACATCTGGGCCAGCTCGGCGCGCTCCCCAGCTGCTAATGAACCATGGCACCGCTTTAATTCCCTCGCCACCACACCATCTTCTTATTAAATCCAGGAGCAGGTTCCAGCACATTTCCCTTCGAGGGAAAAAGGAGAAAGAAACGGAGCAGGATTTGTCTCAATGAAATATGATAGATTAGAGTTGGCCGGATAAAGAAAGTGGGGGGGGGAGGGGGGAGAAATTTCCCATCTTGTGCACGCATATCACTGTATTCTCTTTCGCAATGACCTCCTTCTGCCCCATCCATCAGCCTGGGGTTGGCTTATTCTAACGAGAGGAGCCTTTTCTCATATGGAACAGGCCCATCAGACTCAATCTGCATGCCAATTACCGGAGCAGACCCCCTGATACTGAAAAATGGAAATTAGCCATCAAGCGGGCTGGGCTGGATGGCCTGCGCTCCCGCTGCTCCCAGACACCCGCAACGAGGGAGCCCCCAGTGGAAAAAGTAATCAGGAATAATAATAAAATAAAATAAAACCTACACAACTAGCATATTTTACTGTTGTTTGCCTTGCTTGCCAGCATTCGGGGTACAATGTGGAATTTACCAGAGGGCAGGAGGATGGGGAGGGGAAGAGCTGGGATAATTGCGTTTAGGTGATGCACAGGAAGGACGCAGGGAGGTAATGTGACTGCAGGGGCAAAGCAGAGCTTGGTGCCCCAACGTGGGGGGGCAGCAGGAATCGCAGTGCCCAAACTCACCAGCTGCTATCCCACCTGCAAGGATCTTCCATGTAAAAATGGGAAAGGCAACAAAACCCAAGATGCATGCCACACTCAAGCTAGTGACCTTTAGATCTCCCAGGGAGGGTCCCAGAGAGCTTTGCTGGAAGCTGATCAAGGTGCTGGGGGATGGCTCGTGCACCGACCCCAATTGCTAAGAGCTGGGTAATGCTGGAGTGTCTGAGAAGACAGAATTAAACCTCAGAGGAAAGGAGAGACGTGGCAGAGAGCAAAGGGGGGACTGGGGGAGGATGGGGACACACATCGCCCTTTGCAGGGAGCTGTGCTCCCGGGGGCTGCAGGTTGACAAACATCACTTTGCCTGCCTCCCTGCTCTGTAATAACCTCATACATCAACCAAGGAGACTGGGGAGCGTGGCTGCAAGGGCTCTGCTTCCACTGCCATCATTAGCCTGGGGTCCCTCTGCTCCACATGCAAACAGGCTGGAGTCCCCACGAGGAGGGACTTGCATCACTGCTTCCTGCATGGGCACAACCAGCCTGACATCTAGTGGCACAGGGCAAAGCAGATGTTCCAAACTGTGGGACAACCGGGAGCCCGGTGGCCCCTTCTGCTCAGTGCATGTCTCCAGGGCCTGGGGACTCACTGCTTCCTATCCTCTGCTGCTCTTTGGGAACATCCAAGCAGCAATCTCAGAACTCAGTTTTGAGAGGTGATCATTATCTCTGTCCACGTCCAACCTCTTTATCCTCTTCTAACTTCCCTATTTTAGTGGTCCTAATACAGTCAGGATGCCCAGCAACCCCCATTCTCCAGAGTCTCTGCCCATTGCAGAGCTGGAGACCAGAGTTGGAGGCAGTGGGAGCTGGTGGAGACTGTTCTGCCCAAAGAAAGCACCTGGCTAACAGGCTCACACATGGGGGAAAAAGCGGGACAGAGCTTCTGAGTGACTCAAGTGCTTTATTGGGGGCCCAGCTCCCCACCATTCACTCAGCAATGCTGCGGAAGGACTGGACGGCAGGGGTCACTGCTCCCCATTCCACTGGCTGCCGGTACTCGCCCTTGGGCAGCAGGTACTGCCTGCCCCGGTAGTTGGGGTGCTCATAAAACACCCAGATGCCCTCCAGCACCCGGCAGGCGTGGACCTCACGAAAGTGGCACTCCTCCAGGATGGAAGGGCAGTCTTCAGTGGCTTCAAACATCTGCCCACCGAAATCCCCCTTCTCAAACACCTGGATGTGGCCCTGGGCTCCACTTGGCTGGAAGGAAGAAGGGAGAAGGGAGAGAATTGCAGGGGGTTTGGGATGCGTCTGGGGTAGAAGCAGAGGCAAGGCACAGCCAAGCTCAGGTCAAGCACCAACACCCCAACACACCAGCATGGTTCTGAATAGCTCACATCAGCCCCTAAACACAGTGTGGGGTAATTCTTGACCAAGCATCATACGCAAAGAGCACTTTAAGCCTAAACCCCCACCACAGCCCAAGTTCCAGATGGGTGTGGAGAGAGATGAACACGTGCTGGGCTCTATCCCATGCAGGCAGCCTGCTCAAAGCCTGTAGCCACTCAGTGCGAGCATCAGGAGGGATGCACCCCTCTGCTCCCCGCTCCTCTGGGCAATGAGGAGTTTAATGAGCTGCTGACCCCAGCTGGGTTGTATTACAGGCAAACGCAGCACGGGTATTTTCCACTGTGATTTCAAGCGCTGTGTTGCCTGAAGGCACCGTGGTGGTTTTAATCTGTGGCTGTCTGGACACAGTCTCCCCCCGCCTCCCCTCCGCCTGTTCTCACTACCAGCCCCAGCCAAACTCTGCAGGGTCTCACAGCTCTGTGTCACTGCTCCAGGGGCTCTGAACCAACATCTACGATCAGTCGGTCCCCATGCCACCTCCCCATGTATGGGAGGGGAAGCCAAGCACAGGGGACATGCAGCATCACCTCTGCTCTTCACGGCGGTGGAGGACGCTTTGCTGCTCTTACACCTCCCACGTGCTCTTGCTCCAACCCTTGTAGTAGTTCAGAGCTCTAAAGTAGCTGACAACTATCCCTAGGCTAAGGGGTTTACTCACACCTCAAACCCACAACAGATGAAAGCAAAAACCTCTTGCAGCTTTAAGACCTGCTCCATTCAATGGCAAATCATGGTAGTGCTACCCACGTCAGTGATGCACAGATCATAGAATCATTAAGGTTGGAAAAGACCATTAAGATCAGCTAGTCCAATTATTGACCCATCAACACTGTGCCCACCAGGCATCAGCTATGCTGCTGGTACTGACACCAGGGCAGTAACACTCAGCTCTAACACCATACTCCCACCCTGCCAGATTGGAGGCTGCTTCCCCCCAAAGTCATTACGCCAGCTGTGGGACTTGGTGCCACACACCTATTGCTGTCCTCTTCTTAGGGACCCCAGGAAGATGGGGGCTACCAGCAAGCACCATCCCTAGAGATGCTCAAAGCCAGGATGAATGGGATGCTTTGGGCAACTTAATCTGAGGTAACCCCACACGTGATGGGGGCTGAAAGTGGATGGTCTTTGAGGTTTCTTCCAACCCAAGCCCGTCTATGACACGACAAAGCAACTGAAGTGGCAGGTTGGTGAACTAAGACACCCCTAGGGAAGCATCACACTTACTATGTGGACAGCTTTGCAGGAGCCGAGGCGGTCATTGAGGCCCATCCAGTGGTGGTAGTCAGGATACTCCCCCCGCCTCAGCACATACATGTTCCCCGAATAGTTGGGCCTCTCATAGGCCACCCAGGTGCCTCCCTCCACCCGGATGGAGTTGCAGCGGTTCAGGTAGGTGTGGAAATCAGGGCAGTCGGCGTCGCACTCGTAGCAACGACCCAGGAAATTCTTGTCTTCGTAGAAGGTGACCTGAAAGACCAGCAGGGGAGAGAAGCAGGGGGTTCCGCCTCCCTCCAGGAGCAGCATTGGTGTTGCCACTGGAAGGGCATCGCTTCAAAGCACACAGCCATAATCTGAGCCCGTCTGTAACCCCTGCTGCCTCCAACATGGAGAGAGATAGGAAAAAAAAAAAGGCAAAAAAATGAATTCCCAAACTCAACTGTTCCAGAGAAAGGACAACTGATGTGCAAGTCAGTTGATTCAACGTCGTGCAGACTCAGGCAGCATTTGCCCTTTTCAAGCTTCCTTAGAAGGGCATCAGCCCCATGCATGCTGCCTGGGTCGTTTGGCAACATTGGAAATTGCCTCAGCAAATTCCCACAGCTACTCTGGACAGAATTTTCCCTGCCCCGGTGATTTAAACATCTAACACGCAGGACTGTAATCCATTTTTCCATGCACACCAGCCTGACTTCTTCACCCTCTGTCCCCAGAGGAGACTTAGCTAGTGCTAGGGCAAAGCAGAAACACCAGCAGTCTCAGTATTCCCTGGTCATAGCTTTCCCAGTCATAGCAAACATCAACCAGCTGATTCCTTGTTTATTCCATAGTGCATTAAGATACACAATCACCTCTTGATCCCAGCTAGCTGTACTTCACCTACAGCATCTTGGCTTCTTGTATTGATTTAATATCACTGTGAAAAATACAGTCCAAGGCTGCCATCTCAGCCTTGGAACTAGACTCAAATCTAGAACCTCACTATATTTTTTTATACATTCACTTTCTGTAAAAAATAAGTTAGCCACTGTTATTGCTGGTCAGTCAGTGTGACCAGCACACTGACCAGGGTTCACGTGCCCTATCACAGCAACCTATCTGCCTATTAAGTTGGCCAAGGTGGCCTTCTGTTTTGTAATAGAGAGCTCATCTGAGGTCCCCTTCCCACCCTGAGGAGCACAAGTATCTTTCAATTCAACACTACTTTCTGTTCCTTGGGAGATATTCTCCCTGTATTTATAAAGCCACAGAAAAGTACACTATAGCCACTAAGCAGTGACCAACTAGAGGTGTGGTTTGCTGCTTTCTTTCTAAAGCACATAGAGACTGAAGGAGACGGCTCCTGCCCGCCTGTGTTGCCCTTCACACCCCCCCAGTTCACTCCAGTCCCTCACTCAGCACTTCTCAACTTCCCTGTGATGCTACAGACACAGAGGAGGCAGATGGTTTCCACCCACAGGACGATGACAGGTGAACTGCAGATTTCAATTCCAGATCCGTCAGTTCCTCTCAGTCACACGTTACTCCGATGCAAATCGCCTCCTGTCAGTAAAGCCATTCAGTTGCTCTGCTCACAGTGATATCCCCTTAGCTGCTCACTGTCCAAACTTTTCTTTGGGGCTTACCTGGCAGATAACAGATTTGCCCCAGCAGATCTTCCTTACATGACTGCAAAACTCATACTGCATCGGCCACCTAACAGCAATTACCACATTTCTTCCCGACAGCAGCTGTGTTAGAAGGAAACTCATAAGCAGCAACTGTAAGCAATACTTAGCAGTACCTAATAAAGCAGCACAGGGGCAGTGACCTCTTTCTAGGGCACATCACTTGCTTAGGTTGTGGGAAATACCGTTTCATGGTCTTCTTTGCCTTTTCTTTCCCTCTCTGCAACATGAGCGTGGCACAGAGAAAAGATGAGATTTGCACTCATTCACTGATTTAACTCATCCCAGACATTTTGCTGCACATAGTGAATCAAGCTCATGTATATATTGTGTATAGGCTGCAAACAAGCTTACCTTTGGTCCAGCCCTGGACATTTTCTGTTCCAGCCAAACTTCCCAGTGCTGGAGGCGAGTCAGGACCTGTTATAAAACAGGCAGGACCCAGGCACCCTTTTTATAATGGGCTTGTTTGAAACCAGACAGCCGCTTTGTCATGAGAATAGGATCCAAAAATTGAGTCAGTGATTCTGAGGCTATAGCCCGTTTCCAGAAAAGCAAACAGGATTATGGAATAAAGGAACGCTTCGCCGTCCTCCCTTTGTCATCATCTGCTGAGTCAGAACACCAAAACTCTGCCAAACGCACTCAAAACACACAGCCCCCTGCCCAGTCCTGGAAAACGGGGGTGTAGGGGGCTATTTTGGCTGCTCTCCTCCTTGTAAGCATGTCAAACAAGAATTGTTCCCAGTCAGCTCTAAAGAGGCCTATCCCCATCTGTAAGGAAGAAACTCAAGTACTTATTGGAGAACGTTCCCTCACAATGAAGGGTGCAGCCAGGAAAGGGTGGACAAATGCACAGGGTAGAGCACAGGGTTGCAAGGAACAGATTCTGCTTAAAGGGCCTACTTTACAGCAGAGATGCTGTGCATTTTTATAGTATATCCTCAGCCGAGCTGACAAAATTTACCAGTGATAAATTCCACTCAAAAAATCTTACCCCACTGCTTGCAATTCAAGCAAGGGATCGTTTCTTCTGCCCTCCTCTGGCCCACTGAGCAGGGAGGGAGAGGAATACTGGCTTCTGTCTATCCACACCTCTCCCCAAGCCACTGCATTATAACAAACACCTCTGCAGCTATTCACTGCAGCATCCCAAAGGCTTAGCAAGACAAAGGGGCACGAAGCTGGCACAGCCGTGCCTAAAACACACAGACCTTATTTCTCTGCTGTCCCACACACACTGCTGCAGCTTTGCTGCACCTTGTACGAAGTTACACTCACATGTAATTGTCAGTGACAGAGGCACAGCACTACCTCATCCTTTCCCCATTTTAGGTGTTCTGATTCATCTAGCACTGCTGTTCAGAGCTCTCAGTGCTAGCAAGCAGTGGAGACATCCACAGATGTTTCAGAGTCCAACCAGAACCGAGTTCCTACTAGAAGGCAATCCAGCAAGTTCAGCAGGACATCTCCAAGCTCCACTGCACTGACGCTGACTAAATATGAAAAACTCCCCTCGTATTGCCTAATGCCTTAGAATTAAATCTTACAGCTTTACAAAGTGCTTAAAAACAGAGGTGGAACTGGAACTAGAACTACCATCAGTGCCAAAGAACAAAAACTGCAGATGAATATAACTCTGCTTTCATTAAGAACTGACCCAGAGCTCAGGTGTTGACAGAAAGCAAGGTCTGGTCCTCAAGTGACACTGAGCAGCCAAGGTGACAGAGGACAGGTGCTGAAGGTTTGGAGGAAGACTCACCCTCAGATACTGAAAAGCTCAGCTTTACAAATGCTTTCCTAAGGCACAACTTCTGAAGATGCCAAATCTTCAGCTGGTAACGATGAGCACACGTTTACCAGACCCCAAATCAGTACCTGATGCCAGCTCCAATTCCTAATTCAAATGGACTGCCTCCCCAGGAATCCAGAGAGACCTTCTGTAACTAGCAGCCTGACTGCCACGAGCCCCAGGGCACTGAATTCCATTGCCTCCATCCACCCTCAGTGTGGATAACTCCTAACAAATCACACAGCTGCTGCATTTGGCCATCCATGCAATCAGTGCCTCTGCATACTCTGCCTAGCTCACTCAGGTGCTCAGCTATGAGCACACCTCCCCAAGAGAGGGTCCACCAACACAACGTGAGAGTGGGACTCACTCAAGTTGATAGTCTACTAAGAAATAACAAATGTAGGAGATTGTGTTTGTGTCAAAATACTGCACTAAGACAGCCTGCAAAGACTTCAGCTCCACTGCTATTAAGAAATCAGTGCTTTTCTCTCAGCTGACCAGTACACAGTTCATTGAAGAAGTGAAGATGCTGTGTTCCCCTAACAATAATTGTATAGGTAAAACTCATTCCCTAGAGCTTGTGTCAGGCTTACCTTGAGTTTTATTGACATCTGTCAAACACGTCAAATATACAAGAAAGGTAATTCCACCCAAATCACACTGCTTAAGTGCTGTCTTCATATTAAAAAAAAAAAAAAATCTATAGCATTTCATTCATAAACGATCAAACATTTGTTTTTCACATTTATAAAAACAGGGCAGCTGGCCTGTACAATAAAGGCACGTGTGACAGCCAGCTGTACATCAGGAAAGGCTCCTTTGCTGGACACACACACAGATACCACAGATGGTAACCATGACACCAGCCTCCTTGCAGCAAGGGGCACATGTACTTCCTCATCATCCTCCAGCAGCACACACCTTCCTTCTCATTTACCAACAGAACAGTTACAGTACATTCCTGGGAAAGCAGCAGCTATTCCAAATCCTAAACCAGAGAGATGTCCAAATCCTAAACCAGAGAGATGTCCAAATCCTAAACCAGAGAGATGTCCAAATCCACACACAGGCAGGGCATCAGATCCACATGGAGCGCGTGCAGTCAGAACAGCCGCAAAGTCTTTATGGGAAACGTTTTCAGGACAGCGCTGTCTGTTCCCACAACTCTACAACAAAGCAGAGGTGCAGATTTTATGCCCAACACTTATTGAAGACAAAGAAAAATGGGAAAAATAAAAGGAAATAAAAACATTTCTTATGGTTTGAAACATGCAATAGAAGAGAGTCATGAGAGCTTGCCTCCAGCTCCTAAACCACTTCCGCTTGGGAAAAGAAAGAGACTGCAAAGTAACAATTATCTGAAGCCTCACCCAATTCTCTTATACAAAAAGTGAGACAGGTAAGCAAGATATTAATACACATCTTTCAAAAGATGGCTGCTCAAGTCTTTATTTCAAGTCACATAGAACATGCCTATCTGCCTTTACAGATCCCAACAAACCACCTGCAGAGAACAAAGGAGGTGCCGAGCACACACATAAAAACTCAACAAATAAGAGGTTCTGACTGCAAAATAAATGAAACCGAACACAAGGCTCTTGGGAGAATCTCCACTGAACAGCTCCCAGCCTCTTCCACCTAGGCTGTGCACACCAACATGGGACAAATCCTCTAGGAATAGAAGAATCAAAAGAGACACCTTCCACTTACCCTTCCTTTCCTTCTGGTGCAGATGAACACGATGCTATCCTGCAGCCTGCTTGGAGCCCACAGCAGGAGGGACGAGGCTATCCAGCTGCTGACGGTTCCCTGTCTGAATCAGCCATTCATAGAACTTGCTTTCCACCAGCATCTGGAACTGCTTCCTTTGATCCCTGCAACAAAAAGATGATCAGAAAAGAAGCATGCGGAAGTAACACTTTTCTGTGCTTATGAACTTCACTTCCAAAACAAGCCTCTACAAATCCCAGCTAAGAGCTGTGCTTGGTTCAAGAACCGTGCCCAGAAAAGAAAGCTTCTACCAAGTGAATATGACTAAAATTAACCCCAAAGGCAGAACTCAGGCATGCAAGCTTCCCCACTTCACTAGCAGCCACTCTGCTCCATAAGGCCTCCTCTGCTTTACTCTCAGTGCACAGAGCAGCAAGTGCTCAAGCACCGAAGACATAAAATTTTGTACTGACAGCATTTGAAGAGAGAGGATGGAGATCAGGAAAACTGTGTGTATATAAACAGCACTCCTCAAATAATTTCCATTGCAGGGAAATAACTGCTGTGTTTTTGCTAAGAGCAGCAACAACAGGGTGCATCACTTAGTTCAGGCACTCCATCAGCAGTCACATGTCCAAGAGCAGCACAGGCTCATGGCAGTATTCCTCCAGAGTAGCATCCCAGCCATCTGAGATCAGCTCAGCTCCTGAATTTCTACTCTTGAATAGCTCCTGACAGATATTCTTTTTTTTTCCCCCCTGTGAGCTTGCACAATTCATTTCTGAACCTACATAAAGCACGAATGTTTCCAATATCCTGTGGAGATCGCGTGGTTTTGTTTTGACCCCGTTCCTAATTTGTTTTGATGCTTCTATCATGCACTGGGAAAAAACAGCAAACCATTCCCATACATTTCTGTGTCACTCAGCTTCAGAGAGGCCTCGTATACCATTTTTTCAAGTTAAAGACTCTTCTTTGCACTGTCACTTCCATTGGAAACGTTCAGTGACAGATCCCCCAGAAAGCAGGTTTCTAAGCTGGAAACTAACCTAAATTCCTCCCCAGTGAATATGAACACAAAGGCAGTCACTTCTTTCTTCTCTTAGAGTTTATCTTCTCCAAGTGCTTATTATATACCTCCATCTGCTACAGACCCTTAAAGGCTTTCTCTCTGATGTGCTCAGAAAATGAGCAAGCAGGATTTTACGCTTTTACAAGTTGTTCTTCAAGCTCTCTTTCAGGTCCTGTCTTACGGGGCTTTTACCTTTAGCCTGGCAGGATTTACATTCTTTTTTTCCCCCACTCTCCTTCTTCAGACAGCTTCAACTTCTCGAAAGACATCTTCTTACTCTTTCACCTCCCTGTTCAAACACCAGCAGCTTTTCTTCTTTCTACAAGTCTGACAATCTGCTTGCTCTGGGTTGTCTCTCTAGCTGTCTCCTTGCCCACAGAGCACAGAGGCACTTTACACTGCCAGCTGCCCAGCTTCTTTCCAGCAAGGTTCTAATTCTGGCATGTTTTTCCCCCTTTCATGAAATAAGCCACTCCAGTACCAAGCTGTCACCTCCTCTGCCTGCTGCAGAGGCTGCTAAATCTTAGTGCATCATCTGTATAATTTAGTATTTCTTTAATTGTTAGATTTTGGTAGGTAAAACACATTCATAAAAACAGGGTGAGAAGCAGCAGCCTTGGTTTCTATTGCATGTTTCCAATGGCTGAAGTAGGAGGAGCACTGTAGATGAGACCAACAGACACAATGCTCCAGCACAAAAGCTGAAGTTAAAACTTTCTGCTGCTCTTCAAGATACAATGCTGAGGTTTGAAGGTTTTTACATCTCTGTCACCACTACTGGATCACTACTGCTCAGCCATCCTCTGCTTGTAGCAAAATCCTCCCTAAGGACCCTTTCTCCTTCCCACTCCGGAGCTCTTTCAAATGCAGGCTCCTCTGCACAAAGGCAGCTGGTGTTCAGAAAGGAGCAGGGAAAGCTCAGGAGGCTGCTCTAAAAACAACCAAACGGACTACAGCTCTGCAGCTTGGTGTGACAGGAAGTGCTGACTGTTTGACTCAACAGGTTTTCATGTTCTGTGCATCCCACAAACTAAACTTCTCTAAGATCACTGCTTCTCTGCACCCAGTTACATGTCCACTGTAACTCATGGACTGAGCACACAGAACAAGAAGAAAATGGAGAGCTCAAATACGGCTTTCTGAGGGATCAAAAGTTGTTTTCACCTCTTCAAGACTTTTAAACCAAGTATCCGGATTTCTACCTCCATTCTGTATTTGCAAAGGAAGATCCTCAGATTGCTGCATCAAAGTAGTTCACGAAAGATAAAGCAGCAAAACTGAAGCTGACAGATTTTTACACCTGACAGCCCAACAAAGCACACTGACAAAGAAAACAAGGTGGACTCTTTCAGAGCTCAGCAACAGGTGTTGAGAGAGCAAACAGATGCATATCAGCACACGGAGAGGCCCAGCTAGTACAGTAGAAGCTGGGCAGAGGATTTTAAAGGGAACTTTAAAAGCTACTGTCCATGAGGTGATGTATTCTAAAATCCACATGCACATGCTTAGCTCACCTCAACAACAGGTGGGACAGTAATTTAAAGCTTCACTGTAAAGGTTGGGTTTAAGAATGATCACCAATCAGCTGCAGGCCAACAATTGGTGGAGCTGTTGTTCAGGGTACTGGCCCAGATCTCACCCATGTCAGCATGCAGCACTGGAAGCAGAACAGAGACAGCAAGGAGACAATACCCTCATGAGGGAAGCCATAAGCTCATGCCACCAGGACACCTCAACTTGGCCCTCAGCAGCATCTAGGCATGTTTTCCTTCAGCTTTGCAGGTTAGGAAAATGCAGTCACAACAAAGCATTTTTTCAGTTGTAAACATGATTCCCCTCAGTATAATGCCAAAGGCCAGGATCTCAAGATTGCTGACTTGCTTTAGAAGTGGCAAGATGTAGCCCACACAAACAAACCCAGTACTAAAGCATTTTTCTGAACCACACTGAATGATGTACAACTGTGCTGAGCTTCAGATGCCTTTCAGGATACAGCACTCACTTGGTCAGGCACGCCTCCTTCACCATTTTCTGCCAGATCTGCACCTTCTGCTCTCGCTGATTCAGTGCCTTCTGATAGGCACGGGGAAGCCCCCCTGGTGTCTCTGTGGTGTCTCCTTCCATCTCAAAAGGAATCACAAAGGTGTAGAAGTCCAAGGGCGGCAGGAGGCGGAAGACGCTGGCATCACTGCCCTCCTTGCACACCAGCATGGGGCTGTCCCAGTAGTTGGGCACAGTGGCCAGCCCCACTTGAGCCATGTGGTCTTCCAGCATGGGGTAATGGGTGTGGAAAGGGGCAAAGCTGATTGCTTGGTTTCCCGCAAGGATAAGGGGCTGGGTAGGAGTCAGAATGTGAAAAGTACAGCCAGTGGTGGAGGAAAGAGACAAGCAATGGCAAACGGTGATGACTTTGATATTGTCACAGCTGTGGACGTGAACAGATGCCTCCACAGGGCCGAGCACAAACGTGCTATTCTGGCACTTCTCAATGGTCACAGAGCTGCAAAACAACAAAGATACAGTGAGCAGGGAAGACTGCAACTAGAGCTTAACAAGAGCTTAGCACTTGAGCAAATGCTGAAAGGACATTTGGCTGTGCCTCAAGAGAACAAAACCTCACCAAAGAGGAGAGAGGAGATAAATGAAGGACTCGTTGCAGCGATGAATTCTGACATGAGCACCCACCAAGGTGTCCGAGCTCTTGGCCAGTGTCTGTTTGTAAACCTGGCTCATTATCACCATAGGGGACACCTCAGGCACCACACGAGTGTTACAGGCAATCTTTGCTCTCCTGGTTGTTCCTTCAACTGCAAAATAAAGTTAATCAACGCATTTAAATTAAAAAAGAAAAAAAATAAAAATAAAAAAAGTAAATAAAGGATATACATGTCTGCCAGAGAGAAACAGACATGATGGTTCACTGTCCACATCACTCAGCAATCTCTCAAGGAAATAATCAGCCCCAAACTTCACAGCAGTACAGTGACACTGTGTCACCACACACAAGTCCTACTATCCATCCTTTTAAGGGGTAGGGTGCCCTTGCAGGTGAAGAGCTGTGATTCAAGGCATGAGAACCTTGATCAGTTCTCAGCTTTGCCACAAACACATCACATTATCTCTTTTCCATGTCTGGCTGTTCCTAAACAATGACCAATGATGGCAGTGATAAATGACCTCACTCAGAGGGGCCTTTGAAAGCAAAGTCATTCATGTTTGCTCACAAAGTAACCCGAGGACCAGAAACTACACACAGGCATCACACAGCACCCTCTACTCTCCCAGGCTCACCCCTAAGCTGTCACTTTCCCTATATTTACTAACAGCAGAAGGAAACAGGCAGTCACAACGCCACTGCCACATGCCTGGTCACCAAGAAGAACTGAGACTGGAAGTTTGTCTCTAAGAATAAAGGTAAGACCTGCAGATACCTTGCTGTGCCCACGCAAGCTTCTTCCCAGACCGTAGGCAGGCAGTCATTCCAAAAGGATTTATTATCAGGCAGGAGCGCAGCCAGTTCTCCAGTTTGGGGAAGGAGAAGGTTTTGGAGATCTTAGAGTAGCCGTTCTGCCCATGGCAGGGCTGCCAGAGGGCAAGCTCATGCAGAGGATGGATGGTCCTCGAGTTGTTCACAGTGCCTTCGATGAGGAAGCTGAGGGCACAGACGGCTTCGTAGGACACCAAGCTGTTGTGGGTGGCGTGCGAGGAGGCACCGAGCTGCTCTGGCTCCAGCAGCAGCTCCAGCATGTCTGAGAGGTGTGTGAGCACAAAGGCAAGGTGGTCCTGGTCATTCCAGTTCTTAGGGGCAGAAAAATAAGAACAAGGTGAATTCTCACATAGCTGACAAGCTCCACCAACTCTGTACAATACGTCTTTGCTTATACTTGTAAAAGAAGGAAAGCAAGCCAAACTCGGTCCTGCTGCTCTACTTTTACCACACATAGAAAGGGAGCTGGATTCACCATCAAGCACACCAAAAAAAGAAACATGGTGTCATTCTAACTCTAAGTATCAAATATTTCATTTTAGAAAGCAGAAGCAGATTCTCCTACAATCCTTCCTGCACAAATTCAGCCATCTGCTGCTAGTATTGAAGGGAGGAAACAAATCAGTAACTGACAGCCAAGGTCTTGCTATGTGTCTGTTGGAAAGATCGCTGCATCTGCTCCAGACCTTCAGCTGTGATTGAGTGCTTCTGATGTGGAGCCAGAGATAATAAAAAAAGCAGAGGGTCATTCCTTCACAAGCAAGCAGACCAATAAACCAACCAGGCTCTGAAAGAAGCATTAGTTCAAATTTTAAAGGGCTCCATTCGAAGAAAAGTGGGAGATTGGAGCTGTGGCTGGCACCAATACAGACAAGCTTTGCTGGCCGCCAAGGTGCAGAATTAATACTCAGCTATGATCACACCTTGTCCTCACTGTGCTGGGGGCAGGAATAACACATCTACAACAGCAGCTGGAGATCGTAGCACTGTGACAAAGATCCTCTGGAACACAGGAACAGCTCTAGTTCCTGTTTAGAATTACATTCTATAGCTGCCCCTGAAGCACAGCTGGAACAAAACATCAACTTTTCAATTCCATTGGATGCTCCAGTGCTACCTCACCCACAGCCATTTATCAGTTTCTCTCATTTTTCTCTTTGTTTTTTAAATCCTTTAGTATAAGATCACCCAGCCCATTTTTAATGGTTTCAGCTTGTTCCAATCTACATTCCCAGGCCTGTGCAGCTCATAACAGCCCCAACAGAAATCAGCTGAGGCATGCAGACAGCCTTTATGACAATGCTGTCAATTTCACTGACAAATAGAGACCTTCCCACAACCTGCACCCAATACATCCATCTTACTTTACTTCTTTCAGAATGCTTTACAGGAGACAATCACAATTTCACGCTCTTGATCCATAGGTGGTCAGATGTATTCCAGCCCTCTGAAATACAACTTTGTGTAGCTTTGCTAAGGGGCATCTTGGAACCTCTTTATTCTACAACAAACCATAGGGCAGCAGTTTCCAGTACAGGATAAGCTTCCTGTTTGGCTATAAAGAAGTGCAAAGGCTGCAGCTTCTTAAAAGGAGAACACAAAGACTAAGAGAGCAGCTTCACAACAACCGAGCCCACCCCACCATGCCCACAGTGCCATATTTCCACAGCTCTGAACACCTTCAGGCACGGTGACCACCCTACTTCCCTGTGCAGCTGTGCTCTTTCTGAGAAGAAATACCCACATCTAACCCTCCCTAGTGAAACTTGAGACCATCACCTGTCACCTGTGAGAATAAAACTAAAGTTGCTATGCTCTCCTTTCTGTGAGTTACAGAGAGCAACGAGGCCTCCCCCTGAGGCTCCTTTTCCAGGCTACACATGAGTATATACGGCTACATGGATATAACCACTGACACCTTATTAGCAACAATTACAGGGAACGCATCAAATCTGCTTGCTATGAAGGGCGGCACCCCGCCCTGCCCAGGAAGGCCCAACAAGGCAGCCTCCCCTCCCCACAGCCTCACTACCTTGCTGTGCCCCGCGGCCCTGCCCGGCAGCCCGGCAGCCCTGGCCCTGGGGCTGGGCCACTCCTCGCCGATGAGGGACGTTCGCAGGGAGGCTTTGTTCAGCTGCTGCACGTAGAGGAAGAGCAGGAAGCGCAGCGTGTCCACGGAGAGCTGCCGAGAAGGGAGAGGCCATTAGGTGTCGCCGGCCGCCCCGCGCCCGCCCCGGCCCCGCGCCCTGCCTTGCCGCGCTCCCGCTCCAGCTCCTCGGCGCTGCCACACGCCGCCTCAGCCTCGGCGCGCTGCAGGCGGCGGGGCGGATCGGGCGGCGGGAGGAGGTCGTGGAAGCGCTCGAAGTAGAGCCAGGCCAGGTCGCGGCCCAGCTGCAGCTTGCCGCAGGCGATGTGCCGCCATCGCGGCCAGCTCAACAGCGGGTAACAGCCCTCGGCCGCCCGCGCCCGCGCGTATGCCGCCATCTTGCGCAGGTAGTGCGGGCCCAAGCGGGCAGGCGGCGGCACGGGCAGCGCGCCCAACAGCAGCGGCTCCGTTCGCGGCCACAGCGCCGCGGCCGCCGCCATGACGGCCGCGCGAACCAACGAGAGGACGCTTCCCGTCCGCCCCTCGGGAGCCGCTCGCCATTGGCTACAGGAGCCGGCGCGGAGGCGGGAAGAAGCGACGCGCCTCGCGGTTGGTCGGCGTCCTCTCCTTCCGACTCTCTGCGACGCGATTGGGCCGCGCCCGCGAGGCGGTGGTGAAGTGTGCGCGGGCGATTGGCCGTCAGCTCGAGCCGCGCGGGGCCGGGCCGCTCCCCAATGGCCGGTGGCTACGGCTGGGTCGCTCTCTCATTGGCTGGCGACGGCGGCCGGGCGCCGGCTTCGTGTGTGAGGGACGGGGTGCGGGCGGCGGCCTCCTCTCGGCCCGGCTATGGCCCTCGGCTGGCTCGGCCGCGTCTGTCTCCTCCTGCTCTGCCTCTGCGGGGAGGCCGCCGCCGGGTGAGCGCTCCCCTGGGGGCTGCCCTTCCCTCATCCCCCTCCCTTCGTCCCCTCCCTTCATCCCGTAGGCCCGCGGCTCTCCGGCGCCCGGCCCGCTGACGGGGCCTTCCCACTCTCTCTCTCTCCCCCCTCAGGAGGGATTTCTATAAGATCCTAGGGGTGTCCCGCGGCGCTTCCGTGAAGGACATCAAGAAGGCGTACCGCAAACTGGCGCTGCAGCTGCATCCCGACAGGAACCCCGACGACCCGCGGGCCCAGGAGAAGTTCCAGGACTTGGGAGCTGCCTACGAGGTGGGGGAGGAGGGCTGGGGGTGGCACTGAGGGCAGCGTGGTACAGTGCTGTGAGTGAGGCTGGGCCTGGCTGGGAGGCACCCAGCCTGTGACTGTCAGGGCAATGCTGAGCTCCAGAACGGCTGGGATGAGTTCTAGCAAACAGAAATGACTCTCTGTAGAGCACTGTTGTCATCCCTCCTCACCTGTTGAATCTGTATTGAATTTGAGGTGTGGTAGCTAGTAACGAAGCAAAGAGAGGCTGCCAGGCTGTCCTGGGATATCTCTTTGTTTGAGAGCAATAAAGGGCAGCAGTTCACCTACCTGAGGGAGCATGGAGTTTGAGCTATTTGATCTTATTAATAGGTCTTTGAGTGTGAAACGGGCATGCATCAGCTGGAGTGTTGGCACAGGAGCCTGTCCGTGTATGTGTAGAGAGTGGCTGTAAGTTCTGGCTGGTAGGAAATGAAAGGCTGTTGGCTTGCCTTCTAGTAAATGTGGTAAGGGGTGAAAAATCGTTGCTGGAGTCCTGTATGCATAAAGAATGAGGTGCTGGAACAGCTGCTCAGAGAGGTTGTGGATGCCCCATCCCTGGAGGTGTTCAAGGCCAGGTTGGATGGGGCCCTTGGCAGCCTGGTCCAGTATTAAATGGGGAGGTTAGTGGCCCTGCATGTGGCAGGGGGGCTGGAGATTCATGTTGCTTGGCCATTATGAGTTCTGTTATATCTTTGCTGACGCATAGCATCTAAGTAATAACTTATACTTCTAGCATCATATGCTACGTAAATCACATATAAATTACCCAACACTTAAATCAGAGTCTGTCTTTCCTCTTCTGTGGATGGTGGACTGTGTTTCCTTCATGTTCTCTGTCCTTTTGCCTCCCATCTCAGAATCAAAGGGGTTGGAAGGGACCTCTGGATGCCATCTAGTCCAACACACGTACTAAAGCAGGTTCCCTACAGTAGGTCGCACAGGAAGGCATCCAGGTGGGTTTTGTACATCTCCAGAGGAGGAAGGGGACTCCACAACCAATCTGAGCAGCTTGTTCCAGTGCTCTGTCACCCTCAACAGTAAAGGGATTATTCCTTGTGATTGTATGGAACTTCCTGTGTTCCAGTTTTTGCTCGATGCCCCTTGTCCTGTCACTGCACACCACAGAAAAGAGCCTGGCCCCTTCTGTTGCTGCCGCTTTCTTCCTGCTTCCCCTCATGGAGCAGAGGAAGGCTCCAGAGGAAGAGAGTTTTGACCCAACAGAAATGCACAGGAGCAGCTCCACCAGGACCCTGCCCAGGCTGGCACTTTAGGTAGGAGGTTTGTGCTGGCTTTGAGGAGCCAGGCCATAGGACAATCTGGATCCCAGTGTTATCTTCAGGAGGAAAGGGGGTTTCTTCCTGCCCAGTCTGATGCTGTGGTTGAATCTGTGGCTCTAGCAGGGCTCCTGCTGCTGTCCCTGATGCTGCTTCCTTCTTCTGATATGTAAATCTAAAATGAATGAGGAAGTGAGGTGAGAAGCAGCTTGAATGTATTCCTCCTTGCTCAGAAGAACACATTTTTTTTGTGTGTGTGTCTTATAGCTAGAACTCCTTTTAGTTCTGACATAGTCTTAAAAAGTTGGCTTAGCTCTCACAGCGAAGTTGGTGAGTGTAAAGAATTCTTTGGTGGGAGATCTAGCATTTACCATCTCTGACTTGAAGGCTGATGCATTCTGCGTGCTTCAGCTGTGGGCTGAGTAGTTTATGTGAACTGGGGGCTTGTCACACTTGGCAGTGCTTAATGCACAGGGAACATTTCTCTATGTGTCCAGAGTCCCAGTTTATGTCTTAGCCACAGTAGAAGGGTCTTTCCTACAGAGAAATGCTGGGGAAGAAACAGCTGTAGAATCACAAAGCAGTAGAGGACGCAGTGGCACAGGCAGCAAAAGCTCTTTTGAGTGGTGACAGTCTACCTTCCTTTCCCTTACCAAAGTGCTACTGAAATACAGAGCCCAGCTTGTTCAGCATAAAATGTGGAGTTCTGTTGCTAACACAGACAAAACAAATGCAACATGCCCTCCCCTGAACTGCTGTTGTTTTTACCATAAAGCCTCAGGCTCCATGCTGCTACTCAAGATTAGTCTTGCTGACTGCCTAGAGAAAAGTCTTTGGGGGAGGGTGAGGGGGGGTAAAACAAGTGAGGGGGAGAGTAAATTAAACGACTCAGTGTCCTTCACTTAAACAGCCTGATTTGAACCCCTCAGCTTAACAGATGTTTCAGTTTCAGAGGCTCCTTTATATAGCAGCTGTTAATCTCAGGGTGATTTTCACCTTCCAGGGGCTGGAATCTTGTTTTTGGTTTTCAGTTTATCTGCTGAATTGCATTGCTTTTGAAGCAACCTAAAATAAACAAGAACTCTCTTTACAGAATTTAGAGTGCTGTGTTCTTAAACCTCCTGAAGCCTGCTAAGGAAGCAAAGTGAATGGAAAAGCAAATATTTTGTACTCTTTATTCCTTTCTTTCTTGTAATATTGTTAGTAGTCTACTAATGGATTGTGGAACTTATCCCAGTTTTCTCAGATGGGTGTTGTATTGCAAATCCCAGGTGGCAAAGGGAGAACTGAGCTCTTACATTTAGTCCTGGGAAGGTGAAGCTGGTAGTTAGAGTCACTGTTGTGTTTTTCTTCTACCTTTCTTGCTGCTGCCATTTATCATTACCTACAATTTGAGGCTGGCTTTCATCATTAAGCCATCTTCTCCAGCTCTTTCCACTCCTCTCTGAAAGCTAACATGGCATCTTGAGCCTTCCAAAAAATAACCAACAGCAAAGGGAAGGAAGGCAAAATCTGACTGGAAATCTATGGAGTGGTGACCAAAAGCAAAGATAATACCTAGGAATTAAAACTGAAGCTTTATGATCTTGTATGCTGTCTAGTGGGATGTGTTGCTCTGCCTCAGTACTGAGATTGCTCCTGAATTTTGCTGCCCTTAGGAACTGAGTCAGTGATGAAGTTGCTGTGGAATTATTGTACCCAGCAGGTTCATCCTGGGAGGCAAACTTGCCATCATAGCTAATAGTTGTGAAGTATTTGTCAGATAAATGCTTTCCACATGCTTCAAGAGCAGAGGAACCAGGGCCCTGTTTTGTGTTATGTGCTTTTTGTCTTCTCATGGAGGAGCAGTTCCTGCTTTGTAAGAAATGATTTTGAGTTGTTATTCCTTTCTGAGTCTCTCTCAACTCACTCAGAGTGAACTCAATATTTTTTATATCCTCTGTGTTTCATCTGTTGTTTTAATAAATTAATTCTAACTTTTATGGACTTAACCAACGCGTGTTTAACTTCCCAGCACAGCAGGCGAGTTCTAGCCAATGCTTTTGCACTGTAAAGCAATGCTACTTGTCCCCCAGCTAAGAGCTCTGGCAAGGCTTCTCTTGGAGCTTTGTGTAAGCACCCAGGTGCCCTGTGGGTGAACACCCTGTTCTTTTGTGTCCCTTTGCCAGGTGCTGTCAGATGAGGAGAAGAGGAAACAGTATGATGCGTATGGTGAGGAGGGGTTGAAGGATGGGCACCAGAGTTCCCATGGAGACATCTTCTCACAGTAAGGAGGTTTTGCCACTTTGAGTTATTCCACAGAGCTTTAATTCTGTGATCCTTGGGCATGCATTTGATGTGGGTTGATTCAGTGTTAAAGCCTCTCACCTGGTCAGGAGGCAGCGATGCAAAGTGACATGAAGGATATGAAGAAATACGCAGATATTCCACGTGTTGTTCCAGCAGTTTGTCTGGTGTCTGTTGGTCCTTTCTCCAAGAGCAGCGAATGGAAACCAGTGTTGTCTTCTCATATAGCCTGGTTTTCTTAAGCAAAGAAATCTCTTCCAGGCACCCATTGCTCCTGCCTTGGGTAGCTGTCTTCTTGGTCAGAATTCCCTTCCTGAACTAACTGTGTGCTTCTCTCCAGCTTTTTTGGGGACTTTGGATTCATGTTTGGAGGTAACCCTCGCCAACAGGACAGGAACATCCCTCGGGGCAGCGACATCATCGTGGACCTGGAGGTTACACTGGAGGAGGTGTATTCAGGAAACTTTGTAGAAGTACGTTTGCTGGCCTATTGGTCTCTCCAGTGCTACTAAGTTTCAGATAACTGGCCTTGCTGCTGCTTGTTTGAATCTTCAAAAGAATAGAACTAGAATGGATGCTTGTTTACATGGTATCTGGTAGCTGAGGATGTCATGAAGCTATTTGTTAGTAGTTAACTGAAGGAACAATGTGTTTATTTCTTTGCTATCTGGCAAATTGCCTTAACAATGTTTCTTGTGATATTAACTTACGGGCTGTCAGTGCCTAGCTAAGAAAATTGTTTCCTTTAGCTCTTGGTGGTATTTGAGGCCCATTCGTAGACTGAAACACACAGCTTAGTTTTCCCATTTTCAGCCATTCTTGCAACACCACGCTGTGCATTTTTCACTGCTTCTTTATGGCCAAACGAGTCACTGAATCTCTGGATTACATGCTTAAACATACGGTGGCCTTTTAATTTTCTTTAAGCAAGCTGTGTTTCTGGTGCTGACAATCTTTGCTAACTCCAATACTATGCATTAGAGTTTATGTTGCTTGAGTCTGTTACACATGTCTGGATAAATGAGGAACTCAATGTGTATATAACAGTATGTATGTGGTACAGAGAAGTTATCATAAAAGATGTCAGTTAAAGAGATGTACATGGATAGAGAAGGTGGCAAAAGGGATTTTCTGGTAACTGGGCATTTCTTGTGTGATTAGCAAGAGGTGTAAGGTGAAAACAATGCAGAGTGTGGTTTGTTTTGTTTTTTTCTTTCAAGATCATGTGCACAAAAAACCAAATTGCATTCAGATTGAGTGATCAAGAGCTGGGGTGCTGGCCTGTGTGCTGGTGTCAGCTTCTTCCTCTTTGCTGCAGGTTGTCAGAAACAAGCCAGTGGCAAGACAGGCACCTGGCAAACGGAAATGCAATTGCCGGCAGGAGATGAGGACCACACAGCTGGGCCCCGGGCGTTTCCAGATGACTCAAGAAGTTGTTTGTGATGAATGTCCCAATGTCAAGTGAGTTGTGCTCTTCAGTGCTATATGCTGTTAGTTCAAAAACCTGCCACCAGAGGGAGAAGAGCGTCTGTACGACCGGGAAGATGGGGGGAATTTCAGAGCGCTTAACGCAGGCTTCTCATTTCCGAGGAGACAGACTTAATAATTAAAGTGGAAATGGGCAGATCTGTTAGATGAGGAACTTACTCAATTTGTAAATGAGTGAGAAAGGCAGCACTTGGCCTGCAGCTCTAGGTGTAAGCAAGGAGTGTGTGATTTGTGGGGGTGTTCTCATTCTCCAGTAGCAAAGCAGGTGCTACCACCTAATACTGAAAACTGTGCTTCTGTATTCCCCTTTGCAGGCTTGTGAATGAAGAGCGAACACTAGAAGTGGAGATAGAGCCAGGTGTGAGGGATGGTATGGAATATCCCTTCATTGGTGAGGGTATGTATATGGGCAGTGCCCAGCTTGTGGCTTGCTTCTTTGCTTTAATACAAGGCTGGTCTTCATGGCAGTGTGGAAGGGGCTCTGCTCTGCTCTAGGTAAATGATCAGGGCATATTATGTGAAGCTTTTTTTTTTTCCAGAGTGTGCTGCTCAAATCCAGTACCACAGTCTTTGCAAGTCTGGGTAACACTCCTGAGATCCTTTCCCTTTCTTGCTACAGAATACACAAAAAAAAAGAAAAGAAATGAAAAAGCCCTAAATCTTATATTTCAGATGATAACTTGAACAAGAACATTTGTTTCAGACTTCAGTATGTGAAGGAATCCCTCCTGTAGAAGGAGTTTATGTCCTTTAATAAGTAATGGATGGTTATCATTGCTGTGTGGGCAGGTCTTCAGAACAGCAGAGAGGGGTGAATTGGAGGGAATGCTGGAAATCCTAAACTGTTTAGCAAAAGAAATACATGTAAGCAGGGTTTTAGTCACATGAGAAACAAGCAGTTGTTTCTCTCCCTTTGACACATGAGCTGCAAATCCCTATTGTGTTTAATATGCTGCTTGCTTCTTTAGCTGTTTCTGACTGGATAAACAGCTCTTCTTCCTCCACAGGGGAGCCCCACGTGGATGGGGAGCCGGGTGATTTGCGTTTCCGAATAAAAGTTCTCAAGTAAGTGCCTGGCCTTGTTGGACCACTCTTTCAGGTTACTATCAAGGAAGCCTGCAAACAGCTTTCTGGCTAGTGTTGCTTGGCTTGTGTCTAGTTTATTCTTCAGTGCTGGTACAGCCAGGGCTCAGGTGTTCAGGGCAGTTCAGGATGCTCAACCCTGAGGATGCTAGAGAATTCCCTGCTGTTAGGATGATGCAATGATATTCCACTTCTGCTTCCCTTGAATTCTGGCATAGGTTAGCTGCTGCCTGAATCACAGGGGATATCTCCTTTTTCCGTAAACATACTATCTCCCTATTGTCAGAAAATGTACTGGTAAGAAAGGCTGAGTGAGTCACGACTTGACACTCCTTACCACTCACTGCTCTAGAAATAGAAAGGCTATTAGTAGCACTCTTGCACACAGGAAAACAAAGCTAAATTTCATTCGTTCTTGACTTCCTCTCTGATTTCTGTGAAGTTCTCCCAACTCTTTTCACAAATGGATGGGAGAAAGCTGGAGGAAAACTACGATCTCTCATTTCTGCAGGCACCCAGTCTTTGAAAGAAGAGGAGATGACTTGTATACAAACGTGACAATCTCGCTGGTCGAGGCACTTACAGGCTTTGAAATGGATATAACCCACTTGGATGGGCACAAGGTGAGGAAAAGATTTGCTTTCCTGCTCTATGTAAATAAAATTTAGCTGCTGGCCTTTTGTGGCTGCCTTTGTTAGAGGCCTCCAGAACAATTTATCCAGAATCAAAGCAGGCCTGGCACAAGGGGTGCAAGGTGAGGATCAAGGTTCCAGCCCTTCAGAGTAGCTACTGCATGTCTTGTCTTCAGTATCGTGGCAGTAATGCTGCCTGGGTCCCTTGGATATCATTGACTTTGGTGGGGAATCAATATCAGCTGGAGCTTTCCAGTGGGCTGCAGAGGACATCTGAGAGACTGAGATGCATTCACAGAACAAAGGTAGCATTCTCAAATCTCTTTTGTCTCTAGGTTCATGTTGCTCGGGATAAAATTACTAAGCCTGGGGCCAAACTGTGGAAGAAAGGAGAAGGTCTTCCAAACTTTGATAACAATAATATCAAAGGCTCACTAATAATAACGTTTGATGTGGAGTTCCCCAAAGAGCAGTTGACAAGCGAACAGCGAGAAGGTGGGTGTTCTAAAGCTCTGTTATGGCTTAGGGCTGCACAGATATCTCACAGGAGCTGCTAAGAAGTTGGTGTAACTGTAGTGACCAGGAAAGACTTTCATTCCCATTTACCCCTTAAACAGCATAAGATGGTCGGCCAAGTGCCCTGTGAATAACTTCCATTTTCTTTTGAAGCCTGCAAGCTTGGCTGCTGCGTTTGTAGGGAACAGGATTAGGTTAGGATGTGCCACTACTGGGATGTTGCACTTGACACTACTAGCAGTGCTGTGTTCTGTAGCTGGCCATCTGCCTGAACAAAGGGCTAACTGGGCTGAGCCCCTGTCTGATTGGCCTTTCCTGGAATAAGACCACAAGCTGTTTCCTACTTTCTTGGAGTCTGTGAAAACTCTTCTACAGTCAAGGGTGAGCAGTGCTGTACAGCACTGGGTAGGGTTTGTGCATCCCTTCATCTCCCTCTACCATACATGCTTTGTGCATGTGTAGGAAAGAAGTGTGCAGTGAAGACACATACACCTGTTTTGTAGTAGAGATCAGCATCAGTGCCAAAATGGAAGCTCTTGAGTGAAGTGTGTGGAAATCCTCACACTGTCAGGAGGATAAATACTATACTCCTAGCTGGAAATTGATCTCTGCTTTGTCAGCTTTTGCAGTGGGTTCTGCTTCTCTGCTCAAGGCAGCAGAGTAGGTCAAGGAGCCCCATCCTCTGCTGTGGGGCAAAGAAGTTCCTGCACGTACCAGTACAGCTCTCCTGCAGAAAATCCTGCTTCCCAGCTTCTTTCTGCTGGTCAGAAGAAGGTACAATCACCCTGAATGTGCTGTCTTAGTTGATTCTGGCAGCTGTCCTGCTAGAGGGAAGCAAACGTGTAGCTTTCCTGAGCTCCTCAAGTGCGTAGAGGGCAGCCAAGCCCTGGGTGGTCTCTTCTCAGCACTTCCTGCTGTGTTGATGCTGCTGTGTGAGCTACTAATTGGAGATACAGCTCCAGGGTGACCAGTCATCTGCAAGCTTATTCTCTTGCAGCCTTTCTACAGCTATTCAGGCTGGAATGTCTTTGTATTAGTTCAAGGCCTTTTGCTTCCACACTGCGCTGCTCTTCTCAAAGCTGCATATGGCAGCAGCACCTCTCAGATGGAACTGAGATTTTCCAATCTGCTGCTCTCAGCAGTTTGAGAAAAAATTGTGGGCTAGAAGCAATGGCAGAGTCCTGTGTGATTGTCAGAACTGCTGGCTAGCCTGCCCAGGAGGGTGGTACACACATGAGCATGTTCAAGCACAGGGCCTTTGGGTGTTTTTAGCTTCTGCAGAAGCAATCCCATCCTTCCTAGGGAAAGGTGACTGGGTAAGCAGTCAGATGCATTCTTGTGTGCTAGAATATCTCCAAACATGTAGGGATTTAAGGAGTTTTATGAGGGAATGGCTCTGTTCGTGCTGTGTGGCAGCACAGTGCGTGCACTCAGAGGAAGACTGCAGGCCTTGGCATTCAAAACATCCCTTTCTCTTATTGTTGGCACTGTTCCTAATTTCTTATCTCATAGCCATATGGATGGCTCCTGGTACAGTTGGAAGACACTGAGAACACAACCCTGATGCTCTAGAGTCAGAGAAACATCAGGCTCTTCTCTGTCTGGGTGGTATCAGGGAATTTATTGCTTGGTGATCAGTAGTGACCTCTCTTGTCTGTAATCCATTGCTGCTGGGGTTTGTTTGTTCTCCATGTTTTAGTGCTCAGCAAGCAGGAGCAGGCAGTAAAGTGCCCAAGTTGTGCTGTGACCTGTCACCAGCTCGTGGTGTCAGGAGGAACTTCAAGCTGGTTCCAGTAAATATCTGAGAGCACATTAGAACCAAATACCAGGATTCCTGGCTGTGAAAACCAAGCCCCCAACGCTGGGGATAAATGCTAAAATTTCCTGTGAGCCAATGAGGTTATCCTTCAGGCCAGCACACAGCTGCTTAAGTGCTAGCCAGCAGGAAACAAGGTACAACAGTAGTAGTAATGCCATGCTGTTCAGGGTTATTGGAGCTCACCTTTCTTCAGTGACGTCCTTCCTTTTGAAAGGCTGCATTGCCAAAAGACACATCTACTGACACATCAGCCAGGAAGTGGCTGTGAACTGGAAGTAGGAGGCTCTTTCCAGGACTGTTTTCCAGTATTTTGATGGGGCTAAAGGCACAGTAGTTCCTGTAGACAGAACTGTGTAAGAGTAGGCATGCAGGGCAAAGGTTGCAGGGAGACACATCATCTCTTAGGCTAGTTTTTGTGAATGACTTGCATGTTAGGGGTTCTCTTCTATATGAGTGAGTTGATTTTAATAACTGGTTGTGCTTCTCCCTGCGTACGTGCCTTGCTTAAAGCTGATAACCACTGAGGTGTTTTTCTAGGCAGCCTAATCTGATCTGTTCTACAAATGTCAGCATCCAGCCCAGGACTTTTCACCAGGACTCTGGCCTCAATCCAGCAGGCTGATCTGAGGCAGGACAAATCCTGTCTTCTGTCATGTTGAGCTGCAAGCCAGCTGCCAGTTCTTGCTGTTGTGAAGCTGATACTGTTTTGGGGATATCCACTGGCAGAATTTGGTTGGGTTTAAAGCAACTTAGTGGGGTTCTATTGTTGCTGGGTTGTTTTGTGGTTTGTTTGTTTGTTTTTGCTGTTCTTTAAATTTGTAAGTTACCCAGGATGTGAGGAGTTTAACCTCACAATCTCAGGTCCTGCCAGCCCCTGTCCATCATGATCCTTCTAGGTGCTGATCAGAGCAGGGCTGTGCCATCAGGGCTGGGAGTCCTGGCTGATGTCAAAGAGGGAGTTCCCTCTGATTTTACCTCTGGAAAAAGTGCACAGCATACATTCTTGGCAACCTGCTTCCTCTGTGCAGATTTGACCCTTAAGTAGCAGTAAAGACCTGCTAGTCTTCCTCTGGCCATGCTAAGCCCAATAGAATAGATTAGCTATTATGGTTACAGTGCTGACTCACCTTCCTGTTCTCTTATCTGGCTCTGGTAAAACTTGAGTGCTGACAGGACATCAGGTCATCAATTCTTTAAAATGTTTTTTATGAATGGCTTTTCAGGAGCGGTGAGGATGGCACTTTGTTCAAGGCTGAATCCAACCCAGTGATGCTCCTTTAGACCCCTTTGTAACACAGTGGCTTTCAAACCTATAAATGCAGGCTTTCAGCAGGGCGCTATCAAGTCTGTAGATGCAAGTAAGAGAAACAAGCTTACTCTCTGGGGGTTGCTTCTAGCAGTCAGCAGTATTCCCAGGCACTACTTATGAGTGTGAAAACCTCCCTTGTGTAGTTATTCTTGTGAAGTTCTGTAGCTGACAAGTTCAGGAGGAACCAAACGTAGCCTTCCCAAACTCAGTGCTAGAGGATTTTTGTAGGGCATTAAAGGGAGCTGAGTAGATGAGCTAAGCTACTGGAATTCAACTCTGGAAATGCTCATAAAGCTGTTTCTTGATGCAGCTGTACTTAAGATGACAAATGTGTTCTCAACTTCAATAGCAAAGCAGCTCTAGGAGTCAGCTGTGCAGATAGTTACAGCTGTGAGGATCTCGAGCTGGTCTCTGAGCTTGTAGTGAAAGAGATTCTTCTCCCTGGAGGAATTGGCTTATGGTTTGGTCCTATTTGGTCTTATTTCTGCTGGTGGGAATGCTGAAGAAGCAGGAGTAAAGCTGCTGTGCCTCTGAGCCTGGGGGAGATTCTCTTTGTTGTTGTTTAAATGATGCTTGTGGTGTCAGTGTGTTTCTGTCATTCAGAAATGTGTGCTCGAGCTCAAGGCTGGTGCCACAGGGCCTGTGTGTCCCATCTGTAAATGCAATAAGCAGCACCTGCAGAGTCCTCCTTCTGTTTGTGCTGCATGGTAATGCTTTTGTTTCTCTTGCAGGTCTCAAACAGCTGTTGAAACAAGGCTCTGTGCAGAAGGTGTACAACGGATTGCAGGGATATTGATGTTGGTGGGGGTGAAAAAGGACTTTAATCACAAGTCAGCTCTGTTTGCAGTTCTTCCTCCTGCCCACTGTAGAATGGAAAACAGGGAGGGTGGGGTGATTGTTAAGGTATATATAATTTCTTTTTGTTTTTTTTGTAAATGGTGGAATAGTTCAGATGAGTTGAGGGAGGGGGGGAAGTCTCATCTTTCAGGACACAATGGGTGCTGCTTATCGTGTTCCATGTCCTGGAATAACAAAAATTCCTTGTGCAGATGGAAAGGGGGGAAAAGAAGTTTTAAATTCCACACAGATTGGAATTCCTGGTTTTTAAATATATTTTGATGTGACTTTTCTCGACCATCTCAGCATATTTTCGTAGCTTCTCCTCTTTTGTCCTCCATGTTGGTCTCTGGGTTTTTTGTTTTTGTTTTTTTAAGTTTGATTTAAATTCCAGATCTTCTTCCCCTCTGAGTCCAGAGTGTGGCACTGCTTCAGAGTGAGTGCTGCTTGGGCAGGCATGCAGGTGCTGTTGGGGGTGGGCTGGCAGGAGGGCCTTTGCAGGACATGTTAGGCCCATGTGTGGCTGGGAAAGCAGGGGAAGGAGTTCCTGAAAGCTCCTGTCCCAAAAGTCAATGCTCAGTTTGAATTCAGAGTTGCAGCAGCTCAGCAGGGACTCCTTGGACTTTCAGCATGAAATTTTGGGGAAAATAATGGGAGTGGCTCCTCGTGGTCTTCATTCTTTCTAACCCCTGAGTGTAACCAACAGCTTGTCTGCTAAAGTTTACTTCCCTCCTGCACTCTGTCCTCCGTGAGGACGGGGAAAGTAACAGTGCAGAAATAAAGACGTTTGAGTTGGAATGGCAAAACCTCCCTGCTCATGTATTTCAGCAGCCCTTGCTCTGCTACAGCTGCAAGTCGTTGGACTCGTGATCATCTTGCTGCAAGCTGCCACGAAGGGTGAAACTACTGCTAACACCAGCAAAAGCTCTGCAGCTGCTTTAATTGAACTGAGGGCCCAGCAGCTCATCAGGGAGGGACCTGTGCTGCTCTGGTGTCTGCCGTGAAGGCGCTGCTCCTTTAAGCACCCTTGTCAGAAATGCTCATCTCTGCATGTTATTTGCAAGAACTTTGGGAGTGGTAACTAAGAAAGTTCCCAGAGGTGCCTGCGTCACTCAGCCTCGTGCTGCTTTGCTGTGGCAGGGATGCAGGCAGCGAGAGAGATGAGTCAGTTGTTGGTGTAGGATGCTGCTCTGCATCTTCATCCCGTGCTCCTGAGGGCTGTGAAATGGGGTGGCTGCTGCTGCTGCTTGATTCCTCGTTCTCTGAGCTGGGAAATAGATGAGATCTGCTTCTGAACAGGGAAATGCTTTCTGGGGAGCAACAGCAGGAGACTGGAAGTCTCTCTTTGGCTTTTGTTGCTAAGGATTTTCCTTTGTTTTCAAGTTAAAGCAGCACGGGTCTGAACTGGGTGAGGTGGAGAGCCGTGGCATTGTGCTGCCATGGTCCAGCTGTGTCCCACCCAGCAGCAGCAGGAGCTGACGCAGTGAAAGCAGCAGCACTGGGGAGGTTTCCTGCTGGATCCTTTGTATATTTGCTTTGGCAGAACAAAGTGGGGAATTAGGGAACCCAGGGTGCAAAACCCTCAGTCTCAACACTAGTCTTCCTCTAAGTCCTCATTAATGCTTGGTGTTAATCCTGGCTGAGACTGCTACCTAGAGCATCAGCCTGTTTGACCTGCTGTTTCCAGGTCCCTGTAGGCAGCTCTGTGCCCTGCCTCTCCCCTTGGCTCTGATTAAGAAACCTTAGATTCCAAAGGCAGGCACACCTGTTAGGGCTGCACTGGTTCTTGTCTCAGTGTGTGCTACGAGGGTCTATTTGCTGACAGCTGCACGGCCTGCCTTTCTTCCTACCCCAACCAACATGGCCTGTGCTGCTGGTACAAAGATAAAGCTAAAAACTAGAGCCAGGTCTCAACTTCTGTGCACGAGATTTTGGCTGTGGTGAAACCCTTCCTACCCCCACGCCCAGCAGCAGGCAGTGCATTTATTCTGAGCGCAGCTCCTTCTTCCCACCGCTGCTTTTTCTTTCCATGCTAATTCTTTTCCTTCCTGTAGGATGTTTTTCCCTTTCCATTGTGGATCAGTGTTGCTCTGAGAGGCCGGTGCTGTGCCGAGCGGCAACGATAGCTGCCAAGCCACAATATTTGCCAGTGTGAGAGCAAAGCACAAGTCAGCAGAGAACGGCTGCATTGTTTGTGGTGCAGGTAATTCACTGAGACGTGATCCAAGAAGAGAAAGAGAAAAAGCCTCAAATCCTACCAGGCTTCCTTCCACCTTCTTTTCCCTGCTGCGTAGTGTGCAGTTGGGATTTGCTGCTGTCCCTGCCTTCAGACGAGCTCCAGGGTTTCCGTGCTGTCTTTCCAGGAAGCTGTGTGCTTTAGTGCTTGCTAGGCTATTGTTCAAATGTTCCACTTTGGGTTTTGCTCTGTTGGCAGCAGGAAAGTCCAGCACCTTTAAGGATCACAGAAGTTGTATCTGCCCCCTGTGATCCCCGGGTTCTGTGGCGATTGGTGGCTGTGAGTTACTGCCTTCTCTCTCTCAGTAAGGCTTAACCAGTGTGAGTGAGTCACAGCACACGTGGACTGCTTGATCTCACACAGCCTTGTGCAAGGCAAGGACCAGCCGTTCAGATGCAGGGATGTTCAATTCTTTTATCGAGATGCTTGTCCTCACAATGTGCTTTTTAGAGAAGCTCTTGCTGCTTTGAGAAGGGTGTATTTTAAAAAGCAAACGGTTATTGCCTGCCAAAAACAGGATCCTGATTTACAAAGTGAATACTTCTGATCACCTCCAAGTTGTATGTTCTTCCAGGGTCTAACCACAGGCTCCCTCAGCTCTAGTTGAAGATCCCACTGCTACCATCAGTGCTTTGTTACTACCCCCTGGCTGCATCCTGCTGGCTCTGGTTAGGCTGAGGGCTCCACATCCACATCAGTTCTCAGCTGTCCTGCAGGCTGCCCTGCTCCCTGTTCCAGCAGGGAGGCCAGGAGCAGGTAACTGCAGCTGTTCTTGCCAGGCAAGTGAGTACATTCCTCTGGCTTACTGCTTTTGAAGAGGTAACTGGGCAAATAGTCCCTTCAGTTCTTGTGGGAGAAATATCTCTTGTAAAGCATTTGTGTAGGGAGGGAAAGGACTTCTCACTGCAAATGGTTACGCAGTAAAGTCTAAGGAAGCACTAAGCAACATGATGGGAAGTATTCTGCTTGGAGATGTGTAACCTCAACTGAGCAGAGGTGGATACCTGTTCTTTCTTGCTCAGCCAGCCTAGGTACTACTGCTGGTTATTTGGGCGGCTTCCCTGTCCTGCAGTGCTCATCAAAAGTAGATGATGGTGAAATCATAGTGTAGGATGGCTTTTCCAGAAAGCGTTGTGACAGCCTGCATGCTCTGAGGAGAGGGAAGCAACAGCTGCTGACCCAGCAGCCTTGCCCAGTTCTCTTTTCTCTCCGAGACAGGTTTGATGCTTGCAAAGCCTTGCTGCCCACCCTAGACCAGATGCTACACTTTTGAGACTGTACACAGGAGATTTTTTGCTTGGTATGTGGGTCCTTAGCAACCATGTGGCCCCACAGGGCATTTGTTCCTGATGCTCTTGGCCAGGAGAGAGCAGCTGCTGCCTTATTTCTCACTACAGCCAGTTAAACTGCTTGCACAGTGTCCCCTCCTCACCAAGGAAAGGCAAGGGTGAAAGTGTTCCCAAACAGCAGCTTCTCCTCCATGGAAACTTCTCTGGAAAGGTTGTGTGGGCTGGCTTTTTTTTCCCTCCACGAAGAGTTTGTTATTCTAAAATACTTATCTGTATCTAAACATATTTTTGAGAGACAGGCAGTAGAGGGGAGAGGGAACTGCCGTCCTGAAGGCGCCCAGGTTTGCAGCGTTCCTGGAATCCAGCTGTGTGAACTTAGCTGGGGACCTCTGGTGTGGGGCTGGACAGGAAAGGAAGGTGAAGTGGCAGTTCCTTACTGTTGTTCTTTTAAGTGATGTTTTTAGGTGGTGTTTGGATAGCAGCCGCTCTGCTCCAATGCCACAGAGCTGAGCTGCTCACTCAGTCTTGCAAGGCTTACTCAGACCAATGCTTGTCCCACCCAGGGACGGCCCAGCTGTGGCTGGCAGGGAGGTGCAGTAACTGCCCAACAGCTTCTGTTTGCCCAGCTGCCACATCGCTGTGCTCCGTGTTGACTGTGGCCAGAGCCCAGCTTTTGCCTCTTATTTCCTCCAGCTGTGCCAGGCACACTGACCTGGGAGGCGTTAGGAAAGAGAAGAGGGCAGTGATAGGAGCTGGGCATCCTCTCTGTGGGAGGGATGTGTCAGCTCTGCCTCTTCTGCCTAAGTATTTCCAAGGATCTGCCTGCTCACCCCTGGCAGCAGGAGGCTGACAGGCAGAGGAGCCTCCTAGAGAAGGCAAATGCAGAAGTAAAAGGCATAATCATGGCAGGGTGGTGGATGAAGATCTCAGTGCTTCCAAAGATCCCCAACTCACCAGGAGTCAAAAACACAACCGAAGAAGAAGTCCCTGTCTCTAGGAGGACTGTGCCTTATTTCTCTGAATGCAGCAAGCATGCTCAGCCTGCTGCAGCAGCAGAGTTAAAATGGATGTCTGGAAACTGGAAATTCCACGGAGGAAAGCATCTGGGGCTGTCACAACGTGTGTGTGGCCTTTGAGGACAGTTCAGAGGAACGAGGCTGTTTAGTCCTGAGCAGCACTGATGATAGCAGCGTAGGCACTGAGTGCATAGAGTGTTTATTGTAAGGATAAACTCTTCTCGTCCTGGTGATGAGCAAAAAAAATGTGGCAGTTTGAGCTGAGGGAGACCTCAATCTGGTACCAGAAGGATGGAGGAACACCCTGTGTGTGGGGAGCAGGAGTGATGCTGTGGTGTGACCCCCAGAGGTGCTGTACAGCTCTCACTCCCACCCAGCACCTCCACCTTCAGGGTGAGTGCTGATACTATGATCCCCAGTTCCTGGGGCAGCTCCTGGTGGCAGGCAGCCCCTTGTCCACAGGGTGGGGGACAGACAGGACACAGAGCCACCAGCTGGGATGTGGGGCTGATGCCAAAATGCCATTCCTCCCCAAAGGATGAGTGTGTCTTTGCAAGGCTATGTGTGCACACCCATGGGATGCATGTGTAGGTGAAGGGGAAACCCAGTCCTAGCCCGAGGGCATCACCTTACCCACTGCAACAACACACAGCGTTAGAGGCTGGGCTTCTTATCTCAGCTGGCAGCAATAGCAGTATGAGTGATGGAAAGTATTTGGCATGCAGAGAGAAAGGCCTGGTTTGCTCTTGAGATGCTGCAGGGGGGGTTGGTGAAAGCCTCCAGGGGAGTGCAGGGTGGATAAAGTCAGGAAGAAAGGGAAAGAGCCCTGTGGGTGACAGGATACAGCTGAGGATTGGCACTTGTTCTGAGGGCGAGCACAGGGCTTGAAGGACTGGACGTGGCCGTGGCTGCTGGATGATGGTAAACACTTAAGCAACAACTGGGGCCTCCCTATGTGTGAGCTGGGCTGCTGGCTGGGCCCTGTGTGCCGCTGGTGATGGTGACCCTATGATGAAGCAGTTTGAGGGTGGGCAGAAGAATTTGAGGCTGGGAGGGGTGCAGTTGTACGCCATAGCCCTTCCCTTTGTGTCATGCGTTGTTTGATATTGGTCACCATCAGGGAAATGACCCAGGGTGGCTTTGGGTGCGGTGCCCAGGGAAGGCTGTAGGGCCTGGGGACTCGAGGGCACCAGCTGTTGCCCTTTTCTCTGAGCTGGCAGAGCAGCCACATCCTGGAGCACTGCCAGAGCCTACAGACAGGGAAAAAGGCTTTTCCAGAGCTGTTATGAGCAAAGACGGCCCCAGCTGTCTAAAAGCTGATGCATTCCAGAAGCAAAACAAGCCCTGTCTTTCCAGACCCCCGCAGTTTCCCAAGTCCTTAGGCTGCCACCCACCAGAGCCACCAGCTCGCTTTCTGATGTCCTGCGAGTTGCAAAACCTCTTGGAACCACGATGTGAAATCTGCCCTGCAACTCTGCGTGCGCGTGATGGAGACACAGTGCTGCTGCCCTGTGCCACAAACAAACCCCTCTGCTTTCTCCCCTCTTTTTCCCCCCCCAATACATACAGCACATCTGGCCTCCCATCAGCTGAGTGCTGATGTTTGCCTCAATTGATGCTCTGGATCCCAGGACGCTTGGCTGCTGCTTCACTCTGCTGTTGCAGCCCCCTGAAGGGTGGGGGGCTGCGTGATGGAGGGCGGCCAGGGCTGCCTGGCAGCTCCAGCAGATGAGCTGTAGCCTCTTGAGAGACCTTTGTCCCCTGTTGTGGACATTGCTATGTCATCTCCCATCCCGCTTCTGTTCCTGCTTTCCCCTCCTTGCTGCCAAAGGGTAAGAATTTTGTGTTTGTGACCCCGTCTGTGCTTTCTGTGGGCCTGCCTTGCACTGGTGTCAGCATCCGCTCTTTTTTTCCCCATTCCTTCACCCAGCTTTTGGGGATCCCACGCCCATACGTGACGGCGATGAGCCCTTTAATCTGCCCAGGAGGAACCGTCTATAGTCAGCCTCAGTGTGCCATAGGGAGGTGAAGGAGAAAATAAATGACACCAATTGACCTCAGGGAGAAAATTGCAGCCAAGCTGAGCACAAGCAAAGCGGCATGCAGTTGGGGCGAGATCAGGCAGCACGAGCCCTGCAGCCTCTCCCAAGGCTGTGCAAGCTCACTGTATGCTGTGTAACCCCCCTGCTATGCAAGAAAGTGTGACACAAGTCTGGGGGCAGAAGGGCTTTATTGCACCAGGCCCTAAAGCAGGGCTGTTCAACATGGAGATGGACGGCCACCGACGGGTCCTTTCCCAGATGTGACATCTGTCCTCCAGGCATCCATCCCCTTTCACCCCAGAGTGGCGATGAATCACGGTCTGAATACCAACCTTCTTCACCCTTTTTGGCTTTCTTCTGACTTTCACCCCTCTCTGCATTTCGTGCATCCAGGCCAAGCGTGGTTCCACGCCTCGGTGCGCTGTGAGCCCCATCCCTGGGGCAGGGGAACCGTCCCAGCTGGGATCCCCATGGGGTGATGCAGGGTTGGTCCCCTGTGCCCGCAGAGTGACCCAGGACAGCCATGGCTTTGCTAGCAGCTCCCTCCTGTGCACAAGAAGATGCCCACAGCCATACCCACCACCGCGGAGACCCCCAGGATCAGACCCAGCACGAGCGGGGCGTGCGAGCGGCCTCTCTGCTTCCCTGCAAGGAGCGACAATGGTAAGTCACCCCAACTCCCAAGGGATGAGAGCCAGGAGCAGGGGGACCCCCAGCACCCCGCCGTGCCTGGCACACACCTGTGTAAGGGCTCTGAGCCCGCAGGATGTCCACGCAGGTGGTGTTGAGGAAGTGCTGTAGGTTATGCGTGGTCTCAGAGTATTTCATCAGCTCCTGCCGGGCAAAAGTGGCCACCGGGTCCCTGCGTGGCCAGCGGAGCTCCCAGGTGGCGGTGGGGACGTGGAAGGTGAGGAAGGCTGTTCCATTGAGGGACACCTCGTAGAAGCTGTGGGCCGTGCCGTTGGGGAAGAGGCAGCAGCCCAGGCGGCAGTGCAGGATCTGGGTGTCTGTGGGACGGAGGGCATCAGGTTCCAGCTGTCCTTTGCTGCTGTAGAGCTATAGTGTGTGCACGGCCCTGGCTTGTGGGCTTGCACTCGTGAGCTCCCTGCAGCTTCTTATTTGGAAATCGCCCTGTGCACAGTGAGCTCCTGGTGGCTCTCACAGGGGATGTGCTATAGGGCACGGACGTGGGGACGTGGATAGCACTGGAGACCCAGGTGCAGGAATGAATGGGGGCAAAATGGGCTCTAGGAAGGAACACGAGTACAGGGGCTGTAGGGAGAGAGATGTCAAAGCACAGCCACAGCAGCGTCCCTGTGCATGGATACAACCTCCTCCCCCTCAGCATCCCGCTTCCAAGCAGTGACCTCAGGGCAAGCCCTCTGCCCAAGGACTGCCCACAGCTCCGGGGCTGCGTCCCCGTCCCCGAGCAGCCATCCCCAGCCGCGCAGCACCACGTGCCCCCTCGCCCCGGCAGCACTCACAGTTGAGGGGCCTCTCCTTGCTGAAGACCTGCACTATGCCGCTGAAGTAGCTCAGGTAGTTGGTCACCATGTCCCGCTGCTGTGCCCAAGCTGCGGGCGGCACCAGGGGCAGCACCTGAGTGACGTTGTGATCCTCCAGGATGTGGCTGAGCCGCCCGTCCAGCGTGGCGTTGCCCCAAAAGACGGAGCTGCCCTTGGACACCTGCGTCCACTGCAGCATGGTGAAGGCGAGCGGGGCTGCTGGGAGGCACGGATGTCACGCCAGACCTGATCCTCACCCTCCAGCCCCGCAGTGGCCCGAGCATCCCACGCCGCCCCACGGCCCCGCACGTCCCCGCAGCCCCTTACCGTCGCTCCCGGCCCCGCAGCCCAGAGCCCCGCAGAGCAGCAGCAACTTCAGCATGGCGGGACGGGGACGGATGGGCTGCGGTGGCCCCGCGGCCGCAGTTAAGCGGTGCCGGGGAGGTGGGGCCGGGAAGGAGGAGGAGGAGGAGGACGCCGGGAGTCCGGCCAGGTCTCTCCCATTTCCTTCACCCACGACGCCCGCACCCTTTCGCTGCCGGACGTGGCCGTGTCAGAGTAAAGGGAACACGGTGGGCCCCGTGGCACGCAGCAGTGTGACAGCCCAGCGCATGGGCAGCGATAGCGCTTCGTTAATTAGTTTAGAGGCAATTATCGTGTGTGAGCATCGCAAAAGCATCGCACGCGGGTCCGCCTGTCCGTCCCCGCCAGGCAGAGCGGCGCGGCACAGCGCGGGGGGGCGGAGCCTCTGCTGGGCGCGGCACCACCTGGTAGGCGTGGCCACGGATAGGGGGCGTGGCCTCGGGAGGGGCGTGGCCAGCGGGCGCGCGGGGCGGGACGCCGGTGCCGGGCAGCGCAGCGATGGCGGCGGCGGAGCTGGAGCGGCTGCGGATGGCGGGGGCCGGCATGGCCATCGCTGTGCTTACCAGCGGCGGCGACGCGCAAGGTGAGGCCCCGCGGAGCGGCAGAAGGCGGCGGGCGTCACCACCCGGCTCTCCTGCCGGGCGGCGAGGGTGCGGCGGGTCCGGAGTCCTCGCTGCCGCGGGGGCCTGTGGAGACGTGCTGCAGGGACGCGGGGACGTCTGGACGCGGGGCGTAGGGCGCGGGAAAATAATGGGAGTGTGGGGACGCGGGACATCGGGATGGGCGCCCGGTGGGAGCGGTGGGTCCCCTCCTGATGCGGCGATATCCCCGCGGTGCCACGTGTCCCCTCCGCAGGCATGAACGCCGCTGTGCGCGCCGTCACCCGCATGGGCATCTACGTGGGAGCCAAGGTCTTCCTCATCTACGAGGTCTGCCCGCCCCGCGCCCCCGCCAGCCGCCCTGCCCCCGCGCGTGGCACGCAGGGATGTCACCTCCGTGTCCCCGCAGGGCTACGAGGGGCTGGTGGAAGGCGGTGACAACATCAAGCAGGCCACCTGGCTGAGCGTCTCCAACATCATCCAGCTGGTGAGCATCGCCAGGCCCCACCTGGGACACCCCGCGTGCCAAAGCGCCGTGCCACGTCCCCCCGATTGTCCCCTGTGCAGGGTGGTACGGTCATCGGCAGCGCCCGCTGCAAAGCCTTCACCACGAGGCAGGGCCGCCTGCGCGCCGCCCGCAACCTGGTGGAGCACGGCATCACCAACCTCTGCGTCATCGGCGGCGACGGCAGCCTGACGGGTGCCGACATCTTCCGCGCCGAGTGGGCCGGGCTGCTGGATGAGCTGCTGCGCGACGGTGAGTGATGTGGGATGGGTAGCAATGAGCCAAAGCCGGAGCTCAACCCAAAGCGTGGGGCGTCGGGCGCAGGGCTGATCAGCGAGGAGGTGGCGAAGGCCAACGGGCGGCTCAACGTGGTGGGCTTGGTGGGCTCCATCGACAACGACTTCTGCGGCACCGACATGACCATCGGCACCGACTCGGCACTGCATCGCATCATGGAGGTGATCGACGCCATCACCACCACGGCGCAGAGGTGAGACTGCTGGCCTCAGCGCCTGCACAGCCCCCACTCTCCTCATCCTCCTTCTTCTAATCCTCCTCACCTTCATCCCTTGGTTATCATGGAATCATTAAGGTTGGAAATGGCCTCTAAGTTCATCAAGTCCAACTTCCATCCCACCCACCCCACCGTGCCCACTCATAGGCCCATTAAGGTTGTAAATGACCTCTAAGGTTACCCAACCGTTGACTCGTCCCCGCCGTGCCCACTCACTGTGTCCCTAAACTGTGTTCTTGCAGCCACCAGAGGACGTTCGTGCTGGAGGTGATGGGCCGCCACTGCGGGTGAGGACACCAGGTGGAGTGGGGGCTTTCTGAGACATTTCAGGCCCTTGGGGACACTGGGGTGCCACCATCGCTCCCTGCAGGTACCTGGCGCTGGTGTCTGGGCTGGCCTCGGGGGCCGACTGGCTCTTCATCCCCGAATCCCCCCCAGAGGATGGCTGGGAGGACATGATGTGTGAGCGGCTTGGGGAGGTGAGGGGCCCGTCCCTACCATGGGGACGCAAGGAGGATGCTTGTGGCCGGGATGCGCTCAGCTGGCAGAAATTTTGGCTAAGCTGCCGTGCCCTTTGCTCCCCCAGACCCGCAGCCGAGGCTCACGGCTCAACATCATCATCATCGCGGAGGGGGCCATCGACCGCAACGGCAAGCCCATCTCCTCCAACTACGTCAAAGACGTAAGGCTCACCCCACTGCCAGCTCCCATAGCCAGGCCCTGCCTGCTCTGACAGCCTCTCCGCCCTACAGCTGGTGGTGCAGCGCCTGGGCTTTGACACACGTGTCACTGTGCTGGGCCACGTGCAGCGCGGCGGGACGCCCTCCGCCTTCGACCGTGTGCTGGTGGGTGCCCGGGGCTGCGGGATGAGAACAGAAGGTAAGAGAAGGACTTTGTCATCACCCAAGGGGTGCCTCTGACTCGCTACAGAGCAGCAAGATGGGGATGGAGGCGGTGATGGCGCTGCTGGAGGCCACCCCGGACACCCCCGCCTGCGTGGTCAGCCTGTCAGGGAACCAGTCGGTGCGGCTGCCGCTGATGGAGTGCGTCCAGGTGGTGAGTGCACAGTGGCACTGGGGGGTGCAGAGCCAGTGGTGGCATCTCTGTGGGGCTGGTGGCAGCTCCATGGGGCTGGTGGCACCTCTGTTGAGTGGGTGTTAGGGCATCCCACTGCTGTCACCCCACGTGCGGGTGTCGCAGTGCTGCATCTCTCCCCCAAGACGAAGGACGTGCAGAAGGCCATGGATGAGAAGAGGTTTGATGAGGCAATCCAGCTCCGTGGGAGGTGAGCCACCATGGGGTGACTGGGGAGGCCTGCTGGAACAGAGGTTCTCCTCTAGAGCTGCTGCTGTCCTTGCAGGAGCTTTGAGAACAACTGGAACATCTATAAACTGTTGGCACACCAGAAGCCAGCGCAGGAGAAGGTAAGTCAGGGTGCCACGCTGTCCTTTCCATCATCCCCTCGATTCTAAGGAGGATGGTGCTGTTCCCCTCCTGGCGGCCGTGCCACCGTCCAACCACACGGCTGCTGTCCCTGCAGAGCCCCTTCAGCCTGGCCATCCTGAACGTGGGGGCCCCTGCTGCCGGCATGAACGCGGCCGTGCGCTCAGCTGTGCGCATCAGCATCTGCCGTGGCCACACCGTCTATGCGGTGAGCGATGGCTTCGAAGGCTTGGCCAAGGGACAGGTGAGCGTGCGGGCACCAAAAGCCCCACGGGGCTCTGATTGGGGTGGGCAGGTTGTCCCCTGCTCCAGAATTGAGCGCTGCTTCCTGCAGATCCGCGAGGTGGGCTGGCACGACGTGGCAGGCTGGCTGGGACGTGGCGGGTCCATGCTAGGCACCAAGCGGTGAGTGGCCCGTGGCTGTGCCACAAGGGACACTGCTGTACATGGGCTTCTCAGGGGTCTCAGCGCAGGGTCTTTCCCCCTTGCAGGACTCTGCCCAAGACTTGCATGGAAAAGATCGTGGAGAACGTGCGGAAATTCAACATCCAAGCTCTGCTGGTCATCGGTGGCTTTGAGGTACGGGGAAACACTGAATGTAGAAGCGCCCTTTGGCATCACCGCATCTCCCACACCTGATGGGCCCATCCTGGCCCCGGGTGGTGGGGTGAGGTGGGAGCCTGCTGACGGCCATGCCCACGGCAGGCATATGAGGGGGTGCTGCAGCTGGTTGAAGCCCGTGGGCAGTATGAGGAGCTCTGCATCATCATGTGTGTCATCCCCGCCACCATCAGCAACAACGTGCCCGGCACCGACTTCAGCCTGGGCTCGGACACAGCCGTCAACGCAGCCATGGAGGTGAGGGGCAGGCGGTGAGGTGGGAGCACTGCGCTGTATGAATGCGGCCCTGTGACTGGCGTTGTCCCTTTACAGAGCTGTGACCGCATCAAGCAGTCGGCGTCGGGCACCAAGCGCCGCGTCTTCATCGTGGAGACCATGGGAGGTTACTGTGGGTATCTGTCCACCGTCACCGGCATCGCCGTGGGTGCCGATGCTGCCTATGTGTATGAAGACCCTTTCACCATCCATGACCTGAAGGTGAGCGGCCCTCGGTACCCCAGCAGCACCGTTTTGGTGGGGAAAAAAGGTGGGCAATGGAACAGGGGAGAGCTGTGGATGAGATCTGGTGGGGTTGGGGAAACATGGGGTGGATGCAGAACGCAGGGGACGTGCTGGGGTTCGTCCTGCAGGCCAACGTGGAGCACCTGACGGACAAAATGAAGACAGACATCCAGAGAGGGCTGGTGCTGCGGTGAGTCCTTACTCATAGAATCATTGAGGTTGGAAAAGACCTCTGAGATCCCCAGGGCCAACCCCAGCCCACCATGCCAAGTGACCACGTCCTTCAGTGCCACATCTCCGTGGCTCTGGAACACCTCCAGGGATGATGACCCCCACCTCCCTGTGCAGCTGTGCAGTGCCTCACTGCTCACCCCATCCCTTCTCTCTGCTCCCCCAGCAACGAGAAGTGCCACGAGCACTACACCACGGAGTTCCTCTACAACCTCTACTCCTCTGAGGGCAAGGGCATCTTTGACTGCAGGATCAATGTCCTGGGCCACCTGCAGCAGGTACAGGGTTGGGAAGGCCACCAGCACCGGGCCTTGGCCCACAGGGACATGACCTCAGCTTTTCTCTGTCCCTAGGGTGGAGCCCCGACCCCCTTTGATCGCAACTATGGGACCAAGCTGGGCGTGAAGGCCGTGCTGTGGATGTCAGAGAAGCTGCAGGAGGCGTACCGCAAGGGTGGGCCCGGGGCTGGGGGCGCTGGTCGCAGCACGGCCGCTGTGCCTGCTGCCAGCTGATGACAGTGTGTCCCCTGCAGGGCGTGTGTTTGCCAACTCGGCTGATTCCGCCTGTGTCATCGGGCTGAGGAAGAAGGTGGTGGCCTTCAGCCCTGTGACGGAGCTCAAGAAAGTCACTGATTTTGAGTAAGTGCCCATCTGCTGTCCACGGCTCCCCCAGGCTTTCCAAAACTCAGGGGCGAGGGCCGCTGTGCCCAGGGCCGCTGGAGAGCTGTGTCCCACTTTGCAGGCACCGGCTGCCCCAGGAGCAGTGGTGGCTGAACCTGCGACTGATGCTGAAGATGCTGGCCAACTACCAGATCAGCCTGACCGAGTACATCTCGGGGAAGATGGAGCACGTCACCCGGCGCACGCTCAGCATCGAGAAGGGCTTCTAGTGGCCATCCCTGATGCGTCCTCCCCAGACCCTGCCTGAAATTGCTGCTCCTCGGGGCCGGTCACTGTGCAGATGTGGGGATGGGGGGCTTCCCTGTGCTTGGCTGCGCAGCCCGGCCCCGAAATCATCCTCTTCTAGTTTATTATTTAATGATGGGGTACTCCTGATTCCTTATGTCATGGCTTGATAGCCCAAACCAATCGCTGCTTTTAGCCGACGACCCCGCGCGGGAGGGGAGCGGAGGAAGATGGGGTGCAGTGCCACAATAGGCACAGGGCACCGGTCCTGGCAGTCCCCCTGTCCCCGGCCACCCTGCATGACGCTTGGCTGTCGCGACCACCGCCACGTGGCCCTTGGTGCCACCGGCAGGGCCGTGCCCGTCGTCTCACCGCCGCTCCATGACCCCACCGTGTCTCACCATCGCGGCGTCGCTTGTGTCTTAGAGATAAAACCTGCTGGAGCCAACGCTGCGTCAGCGCGTGCTCATTGCGGTGCCACGGGGAGGACTGGAGGCCGTGTCCCCACGGGGTGTGCACTGAGATGGGGGGACCGTCCTGTGCTGTTCCAGGGAGGGGGTGTGAGAAAGCTGAGCCGCAGACAGCTTGCCAGAGCCCAACTCATAGCTGGGACGTTTCCTTCTCTGTGCAGCCCCAAGCTGGGGTCCTGGGAGAAAAGGACCACAGGCAGCCTCCCATGCGTGACTCCTTCCAGAATGCACAAAGTCCGTGTCCCTCTGCGAGGAGACCTCTCAACCCTGGAGGAAAACTGCATCTCCTAGGGTTTGGTTCCCACCTTCAAGGGAAGTTCAAAGCGGATGGGTCATGGTGATGCACGTGGTTTTCACGCAGTTTCTCAGGGCAGCTGCCAAGCTCCTTGGCCCTGGCTCACGGTTCTGGGACTTGGCTGTGCTCAGATGATGCCAGACAATTCATTTCCCAGGACTCCTTCCTCCCAGAGCCAGACTGACGAACATCAGCATCATGGGGACGTGTCACAGTCGTAGGGTTTGGACAGAGCTGGGTTTTTTTTCCATTGAGTTGGCCCCAGTGTGGAGGCCCCTTTGATTTTAAGGGCAACAGTGCTATTCCCCTACTAGCTGCAGCACTTATTTTAGGCTCTGGACAGAGATAGCGACCACATAATCCCTGCCAGAGCTGAGTGCAGAGAAACAGCAGAACTTGATGAAGGAAACAGCAGCTTTTCCCTGGTGATGCCTGCCCTGGGGACCCCAGGCACAGGTCACACCACTCTTCCTGGCAATGGGGGGGGTGGGAAGTGGGTTCCTCCGCTGCCCCATGCTGATTCTGGGGAGCCCATCCCACTCCTCAACCCCAGAAACTCGGTGCCCAGCCACAGACACCATGTCCACATGGACACCGAGCATCGCACAGGGGAAGGAAGGCCAATGACAAAGATGCTGTGAGGTGGCAGAGGGGGCACTTGGCACCAGCAGCAGCAGCAGCAGCAGCAGCCAAGAATGACAAGCACGGCACGTAGGCGGAGAGCTCTGGCGGGGATTAACAGCCTGACTGCTGTGAGCTGAGAAAAAAGGAGCTGCGCCAGAGCGGCCCCAGGCCACACTCAGCACTCCGGCAGCCACCGCCAGCCCTGTGAGGAGCCATGATGCTTGCTCCAGACACTCCCCTCCCAGCAAAATGGGGGGCTCCAGGCCGTGGGGTGCCTGCCAACACTCTCCAGCAGCTGTTCCCACGATCCCCAGTGCAGAAAGGTGCAAATTCTGCCACCAAGCAGCTGTTGAGGCAGCCTTAACCTCTGCACAAGGGCAGGATGCAAACAAGATGCCGGGTAAGTCTCTGGGGCCTCAGCTGTCAGGGCAAGACCAGTATATTATAAATCACACTGACCAGTTCAGCGCAGCTGGGCTTAACACAGGAGGCAAGAACTAGGTCATCTCAACTGCAGTCCTCACCCAGAGGGACACGCTGTGCCCCCTCATCCCAAGGCCACATTGCTGTGCTTGTGTGCAGAGGGCTGCCCATGCCCCCAAGGAGCATTCCCATCAGCACAACCCACTGCAGGGCCTTGGGTGCCCACACACACACAGGGAGCAGAGCCACAACCACCCCGGGCCCTGCAGAGAATCACACCGAGGGCTGTGCCCCCCTTTGCAGGCTTTGCATCTCTGCACCAATCCCTACTCACAGTGCCTTTGCTCCCTGCAGCTCAGCTGCAGACAGGCTGCTGCAGAGAGCTGCCTCAGTAACAAAGCACCTTTGCAAAGCAGGGAGGTGCAGCAGTTCTGGTCATGAGCAGCACAGCAGTCAGATGAAGCATTTCACAGTCAGTGAAGCAGGATGGAGCAGGGGCCAACAGCTGCCCTCCGGCTTCACAGGGCTCACAATGGGAGCTGTGACCCAGAAGTAACACAGCAATGCCCAGAGTCAGTTGTTCTCACCACGGTTGCTGAGCCCCAGGCACAACTCATAGGTCCTACAGCGAAAATGGCTTTTATTTGCTATGACACAACGTTTCAAATGGTATTTAACAGCTTGGTAAAATTTTTCTGAATTCAGCTTTTTCAGTTAAGCACCACCCTTGATTCCTGTGCATTTGAACAGTAATGCTTGGCTCATTTTCTCCCTAAATGCACAGGGATATTTTGCTCCAAGGTTAAAATTTCCTTAGGCTGCTCTAATGCCTGCGAGGGCATGCAGGGGCGAAACTACAGCTGAGCATTCAGGATTTGCTGTTTCACCCAGGCTGAATCAAGGTCTCCTTTGGGCTACCTGACCACCAAGTCAGATGCTGCTTGTATTAAAATGGCCAAAAGAAACCAGGAGTTCAAGATAAATTAAGAATTTGACATTGACCTTCACCATCTGTACCGGAGAGTTCTTGAAAATCCTTTAGGCAGCGTCTTTCCAAGATTCAAACAAAACTTTGTGAGAGAAGCTGCCTTCAGAGCCTGCTCTGCGCAGACCCAGAATGACAACTGGCCAAGCGCTCGGCCAACATGGAGCAGTGGGACTTCTGGCTGCTGTCAGGCTTTGCCAACCCCTTCATTTGCAGAGCACAGCAGCACCTCTGCCCGCAGCCCTGCTAGCTTTTTCTTGTTGATCCCGCTGTGGCTCCCATCGAATGACCCCAGTGACAGGACACGCACACAGCAGCAGAGCCTGCCACGCCAGCAGGAAAGCTCCCGAGAGGCAGATCCCGCCAACGTGATGCACGCAGCCAGGGGCAATGTCAGGAGAGCTAAAGGGGCACTTTCACTCAGCCAGCATCGCCCCATCCGCAGGGGAAGTGCGGCGGAACGTGCTGAGCCAGGCATGTATGGGCAGAGTGGTGCTGCTGGGCTGGGGCCGAGCTGCCCGCCTCACCGAATGCCCCAGGGAGGACACGGCACACACCCTCACTCCTCCTGCAGCTCCCTCTTCCGAAAGGCCTGCAGTCTCCTCCCCACTGTCTCCTGGACGACCTCCAGACCCTCTGCGTCCAGTTCCTTCGTGAGTAGCAGGATGGCACTCAGCACGTTGTTCTGCCAGGATGAGACAGACGCTGCTTTATACAAGCACGTTAACGCCGGCCCAGAGAAGGGGAGCACTCGGTTTTCGAGTTGCTGCTCCTTCTAGGGACTTCATCACCTGCACCTACAGGGACAAACCAACCCCCCTGAGGCCCTGAGGGGCAGAGGCTGCCTTGGAGGAGACTAACTGGAATGCAGGACAAACTCGTCCACCCAGTCCTGCATAGAGTGCCCGCACACCTCTGGCTCCTGCAGGGAAAAGGGCGCTCAACTGAGCAGCTGTCCTTCCATCGTGTGACTGCATGAAGGGTGAGGAAAGGACCTGCCCCCACTCTGATCTGAGCAACAGCAAGATAACAGTGAAAACAGGAGCTGGACAGAACCTTTGAAGGTCCCCAGCTCAGCCTCCCACCAAAGTAGGACTGCTGCCAACACCAGAACGTGGCTCTGTCAAACCATGCCATGAAAAACTCCAGAGGGAGATTCCACAACCTCTCTAGACACCTTTTAGGGGAAAACTTTTTTCCTAATGTCCAACTTGAAGCTCCACAGCTGCAGCCTGTGGCCACATCCCCTTAATTTTTATTTTGCCAGAAAAAAAAATAAAAAGAGGAAAAAAGCCAGGGCCTGCGGTAGTGCTCTTGGTACTGTAAAGGAAGCTTAAAGCATGAATGAACAAGAGAATGCAGACAACAAATTTTGGAATGAGGCAGAACATGGCCTAGATCCTCACTCTGGCCTTCCTATGCCAATTGCAGCCATGGCACTGAGCCCAGAATACAGCAGCTCCCAGCTGCACAGCCAAGATCCACGAGGTTCATCTGGGGCGACATCACTGAGGGGGCTGAAGAAGCACCTAAGCTCTCAATTCAGCATCCTCCCGCTCACCAGCTGCATTTCAGCTGCTGCCCACCTCTGACGTGCTCTCAGCACAGTGCAGGGACACACGTGCCCATGGGCAGACAGATGGAGAGCACAAACCTCATCAGGCATTCTCTGCACGCAGGGGAAAATAAAAACACTGCACGGCATCTTGAAGATGAAAAGCAATTTGGTGTTGAAAGATACTCACTCTTGTATTTTGGCTACAGTCCGTCTCTTGAGGTGAGAAGGAGGAAAATTTATCCCTAGGAACAGGCTTCATACCAAGCTGCTCTCGGATTTTGCTGAAAAAAGGGAGAAGAGCAAACGTTACAATAACCAGATGGTAAAACCTTACTCTGCCAGGCCAAACTTCCAGTCACCAGCAGCCACCCAACAAGTATCTAGCTGGGATTCAAAGCACATCTCCACAACACCTGAGCTGCCTACAAATACAGAAGCCTGAGCAAAACCATAGTGAGAACCTCACAGAGACAGGACGTAAGCAGGCAATGCACCACGAGGAGGCTGCTCCCAGCTGTGGGACTGGGAACTGGCTGCATCACAGTGCACTCCAACACGTGCACGGTGCTGACGAGCACCAAAGCATGCTGCAGGGGAGCTAAGGAGGAGCAGGCCAGAGCTCACCCACCTCTGTCTGCACGTGCAGCTGCAAGCAAGCACCCCGCTACAGCACAGCCTGTTTGGCAGATAGAGAATCAGACCTGGCACAGCTAACTGGAACGACAGAATCTGCACCCGCTGCAGGGCTGGCCCACAGAGGATGGGACTTGGCTGGCAGGGTCCTATCATGCTACCCACAAGTCCAGCTCAGGAGCCCTAACATCTCACTTGGTCTCCTCCAAACCGAAGCTCAGCAGCTCGCTCTCAGTCTCCATTGTGGATTCGGCAGCACTGGACTCTGTGGATGCAGAGCAGCCGTTCTCCATGCTCCTCCTGGCTGGTGGGGCCGTGATTTCCTCCCCATCAACCATGGCCTGGGACAGCTCTTCCTCTGTCACGGCTGTGAAAGCAAAAACAACAGCCTGGAGCCATTTGTTTGCCACGAACTCCAGCAGCCCACAAAGACACCGCCTGTGATCAGGAATGTGCTGCTGCTGCTGCAGAGCTACGCGGGCAGAATTTTGCCCAACAATCCTGCTTTGTAGAGGCCTTTTGCTTTCATTCCCCTGCGCAAGAGAAGAGTGGCCGTCTCTTAAAAGGAGAAAGATATCAGGCGGGGATGCAAAAATGCTCTGCAGGCTCCAAAAGCCACCAAATTACTGCTAGCAGGTAGAAAAGCTCTTTCTATAACTGCAGATTCAATTACAGAATCCTTTTCTTTGCCAGAGCAAAGGAGAAAGCTCTGAAAAACCGCTAATGAACGGTACAGTCTCAGCTCTAATGAGCTTCTTTCAGCCCAGCTAGCACTAACCCTGGCACTGCAGGGCATTGGGAGCAATGGTATACAGAGGGGACTCTCAACCTCCAACAGATCCTGGCTGCCTGCACACCTACACCACGTCTCCCCATCACAAAGAACCAAGGACACCTGAACAAGAGGGACCAGCACATGAGTGGTTTCCAGTTCACCTTGCCCAGGGCTCATTTCCCTGCCAGCACCCACCTTGATTATCCAGCTTCTGCAGGCTGGGGAGGTTGCGGAGCACCGTCATCCTGTAGCGGTGGGGGTCCGAGCCACAGCAGGGGTTTTCAGACAGCCACAGGACCCTCAGCCGGGGCAGGTTTTTGAGGTAGAAGAGCTCATTCAGGCTTGCTATGTTGTTCTTCCTCAGGTAGAGCTCGCTCAGATTCTGGCACTGGTTCAGCGGCTCGAGGTCTGAGATGCCATTCAGGCTGCAGAGAGAGCACAGGCTCAGCCCACCCCTCCTCATTGTGCCCTAAGTGGTGAGCAGGGTCCCTGAAGCACGCAGCTTTTCAGCCCCTTTTTCTGCATCAGCTTCACTGAGAAGCCTCACACCGACACAGCGAGGGCGGTGTTCAGGAGCCTACGGCTTTGCACAGAACAAAAAGATGGCATTTCATCTTTGTAAACAGAGGGAGGAATTAAAAAAGCAGGCGCTGCTCTCTGCTGAAGATGACAAACAGCTTTTGCTTCCCCCAACCATGCATCACACTGACACCCTTTCCTCTAGCAGCTCAAGCTGAAGGAGAACCCACAGAAGATTCCTAAGCTGAAAAGCTCAATTTCAAAGGTAGCAGAAACTCCACATGAGATGGCAGAAATGTGGAGCTTGGAGAGATCCAAGCATTTCAACCAGCCTTCTGCAACCTGGCTTCATGTGGAGGCCCAGAAAATCCCATTTAAATCATGGAATATGACAGAAGGAGCAAAAATCCTACGACATTTTAGCCCCTCTCAGAACAAATAGCAAGGGGACAGGTGCAGAGAAGCGTGCTGAAGGATAAGCATTTCCACATCTCTGCTGCTTGAGAAAAGAGGAGAGGCTGGCAGCTTGGAGACACACTCTAAGAGGCAGCACCAAACCAAACGCCAGGACACAGCTGTGTGGAACACGTGATCTCCACTCTTTCCAAGGCCAGCAGCTTGGGATTCACCTGAATGTGATCACCTCAACGTTGGGCAGATCCCGGCATATCGATATCTATGCAGGAAGAGATAGAAACATTAAACTGCACTCCCGAGAGGAAAAAAACAAAAACAAAGCAAAACACAACAACAAAAACCAAGGCAGTTTAAGCCATGCACAAATAAGATAAAAGTAAGAGCAGGAATCCGGGTTGCTTCAATCTAACCCAAGCTTCGCACTGCCTGAGTGATTTGCTGCCAGAGCCAGCACAGAATCAGCAGAGCCTCCACCCTTTGCACCCTGCCAGCATCTCGCTGCTCTTCTTTCCAGTAGCTCTGCCGTCCTTATGCTGCTTTCCAGGAAGGATCCATCCCTCTCACCTAGGCATCCCTTTCCTGCAGTGCAGATATGCCTATGAGCCTAAATCCTGTACCGCCAGGGGAGCACAAGGCCCCAGCACCCTCCCAGTGCCAGTTCTCTCCAGGTACAGGGGATTGATGAGATAAGCAGATGGCAGCACAGTGGTACTTACATCGGTGAGGCGGCTGCCCCTGTGGGAGAAAAGGGTTGTCACTGCATTGGCCTTGGCCACAACCTCCCATATGCTATGCCCTCCCCCCAGCAGCAGGCCTGGGCCTATCCCACACACCTCTGCCTCGTCTCCACTGTCCCCTCCAGGGCTGCTGTGCACAGGCCTGTCTGGGACCTCAAGGCTGCTCAGCACTCACCAGCCTTGCCTGTCTCCAAACCCTAGGCCTGCTTATCCCTTCCCAATGCCCTGCTTGTCCATATCCCTAGGCCTGTCCTTGCCATTGCAAACCCTAGCTCTGTCCCCAAACCCTACCCCTCCCCAATGCCCTACCTGTCCCCATCCCCAGGCCTGTCCTTTCCACTGCAAGGCCCTGCCTGTCCCCACCCTTAGGCCTGTCCCTTCCATTGCAAGCCTCTGCCTGTTCCCAAACCCCAGCCCTGTCCCCAGTGCCCTGCCAGTCCCCAACCTCTAACCCTGCCTACCCCTCCCCAATGCCCTGCCTGTCCCCATCCCTAGGTCTGTCCCTTCCATTGCAAGCCTCTGCCTGTCCCCATCCCTAGCCCTGTCCCCAACCCCTAACCCTGCCTACCCCTCCCCAATGCCCTGCCTGTCCTCATCCCCAAGCCCGTCCTTTCCATTACAAGGCCCTGCCTGTCCCTTGCCCTAGTCCTGCCTATCCCTCCCCAACTCCCAGCTGGTCCCCATCCCTAGGCCTGTCCTTTCTACTGCAAGCCTCTGCCTGTCCCCAAACCCTAGCCCTGCCCCTAGCCCTGCCAGTCCCCAACCCCTAGCCCTGCCTACCCCTCCCCAATGCCCTTCCATTGCAAGGCCTTGCCTGTCCCCTGCCCTAGCCCTGCCTACTCCTCCGCAACGCCCTGCCTGCCTCCAGCCCTGTGCCCGTCCCTCCCACTTCAAGGCCCTGCCTGCCCCCATCCTCACGTACACCCATCCCACGGCAAGGCCCCTCTTGTCCCTATCCCCCGCCCTGTCCCTATCCCCACACCCCCCATCCCAGGCCCCCACCAGCAGTTCAGCCGCCGGACCCCATCGAGCGCGACGGCCTTGGCCCGGGCCAGCACGGCCGCCCGGCTCAGCCTCATGGCCGGGCCCCGCGGTCGCTAAGGGCGGGGCGGCCGCCAGCATTGGCTCCTCCCGGCCGGGGCGGAGCAGGGCAGGCCGCAGAGCTTAGGAAATGTAAAAACCGCCGAATCTGTGGAAAAATCCAGTCCCCTGAGTAACGCAGGGCGAGGGAAATGATTGCTTTGACCCCAGTGCCACTGACCGCTCTGTACCGTTACAAAGCCCTGAGGCAGAGCCCGGGAAAAGCAGCGCTGCTGTGAGGGAACCATTCGGCGGTGCTGTGCTGCCCTCGCGTGGCTATTTTGGAAGTAGACCCATTTCCACCACTGAAGCAGGGCTCTTGGGCTGATTGTTTCCTCAAAGAAAAGCCCCGGAGAGCGCAGTGATTTTTATAGCTGTTTCCACACCGCTTGGAAACGTTCACTTAAAGCGGCTGAGGTGAGCTGGGGAGCCCTAAGGCAGTGCCATCTCGGGGCTCTGGCAGCACTGCAGGTGGCGAGCACCGCTTGTCCTGGTGCGGAAACAGAGGAGCAGCGCCGGAGGCTGCGGGGGCACCGTGCCCTAAGCACGGGCAGGGATGAGATGCCCGCCATGACTCGGGGGCGGGGCTTCTCCGCAAGGCGGGAGGTGTGAGGGGCGGGGCTTCTCCTCAGGCGGGAAGAGTGAGGGTGGGGCTTCTCCTCACGGCCTCGGCGCAGGGCGGGTCTTTTCGCGGCCGTTGGGCGGGGCTCGCGCTGAAGGCGGGCGGCGGGACGGACGGGGTCCGCGGCGAGCGGCACACGTCACTTCCTCTGCGGAGAGCGCTGGCGCCGGGGACGGTCGGGTCGGGTCGGCGCGGCGGTGGCGGGGAGTGGCGCGGCGGGACGATGAGCGACAGCGGGGAGCAGAACTACGGCGAGCGGGTAATACTCGGAGCCTGAGCGCGCGGCCCGGCCGCCCCTCCCCTCACACGCACACTTCCTCCGGCTCCGGGCGGGTGGAGCGGCCGCCCCCGCGTCGCCGTCGGGGCGGAGCGGGAGGGGCGGCGGCGGCGAGGAGGCCGCTGAGGAGGGCCGGGGCCGGGCTCGACGCGGGAAGATGGCGGCGGGAAAGGAGGTGGGGGCGCGCGGCGGGGCGGTGAGGCGGCCCGGCGCCATCTTGGGCTGGTGACCGGGAGCGCCGAGAGGGACAAAATGGCCGAGGGCGGGCGGCGCGGGCCGGGCCCGGCGCTGCGGGGCGGCCTTCTCCGTGCTGCGGCTGTCCGCGGGCTGCCGCTCCGGTGGAAGGCGGCCCCTCGGGGCACGGGGCGGCTGTGGGGGCTCGGGGGCTTGGGGTGGGGAAGGGGAGCGGCGGAGCTGAGGAGGAACCCAGCCGCCTCTTTGTGCTTTGTTATCCTCCCTCAAAACTGTATCGCCATCCGCTTCTGGGGGGAGGTTTTCTACTGCAGGCGTTTCTCCTTTAATCTCCGAGGTCTGTAGCCCTTACTGCCGTGTTTTGCTTGTCTCAGCGTCAGTTTTTAACTTGCAGAGCGAGGAATTGTGGGGCTGGTAGGGAGCTCGGAGTTTAAACCTTCACTGCAGGGGTCAAAAGAATTGAAACGTAATAAAACTGAGGGGGGAGGGAAACTGCAATGTCTTGTATCTTTCTTTGAAAATGGCCTTTTTGCTACAGCAAAGCTTGGTAGGATGTGAGTGTTACTATTTCAGGGTAGGGTAGGTCAGAAAATTGTCATCCTTGGAGGCTAGAAAACGCTGGATGGAATTGGATACTGAAAACTGGTGTTAAGGAATAGACTTGTTCTGCCCTCAGTGCTCTTTTCTTCGCAGTTCATGCCATTCTCATCCCAGGTGTGTTTCCCATTAGTGAGCATTGCATCTCATGTACCCAGGGATTTCTGCATGTTAGTTTAAGTAGATTTAATTGCAGTTGTGCAAGTCAGGCGCAAAACCAGTTTAAGACAGTAGTTTAACTTTAGAGAAACTTGTCAGGCTAACCTGCATAGAGCTTTTTTTCTTTTGTTAGAATGGTAGGAAACATTAAGACCTTATTGTAGAGCCTTCTTGAAACATAATTTTGTAGAGTATGTCTGTTTTTGTATTTGTGTACTTTTATTTAAAAAAAAAGTAATGGACAGACCATCTTCATCGTGAACAAGGTTTAAAGTAAGTTGCAACTGACTAGAGCATGTTTAGAAGAATGTTATTCCTCTGTAACTGAGCTTTGACTCATAGGTAAGTTGTATGCAGTTGTTTGTAAAACTAAAAGATGCAGCCATTTAGTTAGAAGCTTGCTATTCTAGAGTAGGTGAGGGAGTGGCTTTTTGAGTGTTACTACCAATGTTGGTTAGTGTGTTTGTTTGAATAACCAAAACTTCTGTTTTAGTTGGTAGCCTTCTGTTTCCTTATGCTGCAAGCACCAAAATTTACTTGCAGAGTAGGAACTCTGCTTGGATGTATAACCGAGGGTATGACTTTACAGCTGTCTGTTAAGCTGTTGCAAGTCCATGCTGCTGTCAAGAGGTGTGTATCTGCTTTCTCCCTTGTAGCAGTGTTTGTACAGTCAGATCTGGGAACCGGATGAGCTGAATTTGTCTGATTCCATTTCCAGCTGTATGAGGTAGCCGTGAATACTCTGTCAGTTCTGGGGATGAAGAAGCAGTACTGGGTGCTTCCACAAGTAATGGCACTTGCTGTTTTGGAGGCAGCAGGAACTTAAACTGTCTTATGCCATAGTTTTTGTTTTCTGAATGTTTGCAGTCAAACTCTTTCTCAGCTTATGCTTCGTGATGAAATTAAACTCTAGAAACTTTAAAGCTAAGAAATGATAACTTATTCAGTGATACATGGCTTCAAGCACCGGAATATTGGCAGCACACCATAACCAACTATGGCTGTTTCTGAAGATGCTTTTGTTTTCATTCACTGTGCTCAGTAGAGTGTGTGTAGCTAAGTAGGGCTGGAGAAAAGGCTGGTTGCCAGAAAGTCTTGCTTCCTCTGCCCCCTGCATGTTTGCAGCCTGCAGATAGCTATTCACCTTGTGAATTAATTGATAGTCTGGGAAGGTTAGAAGCAGTGTGGTCACACAATGCCACCAAGGTAGGTCATGCTTTGTGCCTCCTCCCCCAGCTTCAGGCCACATCTCCTGGTAGGCAGTGCAGTATCCTGAGCTGTCAGAAAGTAATTTGGCTTTTTTTTGCTGAGGGGCTTTTCTCAGTACTGAGTGATCAGTTGATCCTGTGCCTCAAAAGGACAAGCAGAAGCTTTTTTCTTGGTTTTTTTTTTGCTTTTTTTTTTTTTTTTTTTTTTTTTTTCCATTGGTAAATTTGGGAATAGCATGGCTGAGCGTGTGTGAAACTGGCACCCTGACACCTTGGATCAGTCTGCAGTCAGATTTGGTAATGCACAGTGGTGGGTTGTATGCCTTCCTTCAGGAGAACGAGTGGAAACGCCTGAGTTGGTAAGGCTTTAGTATAAATAGTACCAGTAATACTGACTATTTAAGTTGTAAGACAAATCTACAGTTCTACAGTGTGAGGAAAAATTGGATTGGGAAGTAGAGATCTAACACAGTTCTGGTGCATACCTTGCAGCTGCTTCTGCCTGTGGTGATTTTGTCTGTGCTTCAGCTTTTCAGGATTAGAAACAGTAGCTTTTCAGTAAGGAGCATCAGCTTTGATTTGCTTACCAGAAGTACTTGAATATGGCAGGAACAATAGTGCCTGCTATATTTTCTTTTTCCCCATGGTGTGAGCCTGATGCTTTTTTTTTTTTTTTTTTTAAGCTTGAAATTCACAAAGGAGCAAAAAGGAAAAGAAGGCACTGTGTTAAGACTAAAAGTAGTGGATATCCCAATATCAGTGAGCAGTGGGACAAACTTATGTGGACCTTCAGCGGGTCACACAATGGAGTATAAAGTTTGGGGCTTGCAGATGAAGACATCAGCCATTAGCTTATGCTAATAGCACTTTCCTACTGTATTTCTTCAAAGCTTAATGGCTTCCAAAAATCCTCAGAAGGGTGTGGGGGTGCCGCTGTGCGTGGTGCTCCTTGCTGCCTTCCTCCCACAGCAGTGAGCATTTCTTGTCCTGTCAGTCTGAGCCCTTCTGTCTCTGTGCATTGCTCCTTCTGCCTAGCTGAAGTCTGTCGAGAGGGTTATGTTCAGCGAGTAGTTGATTCCCTCAAAGGAAGAACGGCCTTAATTGTTGTTTCTTTGTGTGTAATCCCTTCTTCAAATCTTTTTCCAACTCTCTTCTTTTACATTTGCTCAGAACTCATCTACGTGGGCTTTTTCTTTTGAAGGAAATAGCAGGTTTAGGGTAAACTAATTTGTAATTCAGGCCTCAGTATTTCCACTGCCTTTCACAGACTTGCTGAGTATGGTGGCAATGGCTTAAAACACCTTAATTGTTTTGGCAAAGAAGAACATGGCTTTGACTAACTTTGCTTTCTTTCTATTGCTCTTAGTATTAACTAATTAAAACTCTGCTTCACGCTGCAAGTTCCTTCTCTCTGAACTGTTATTTTACAGTAGGCAATTGTGAATAGCAGATCTCTGTTGTAAGTCACATGGAAGCAGCTTAAGTGCACTTAAACATTGGTTTAGCGAATGATTTTGTGAATGATACAGAGTGCCCTCTAAGTTGAGTGCTGAGATTTAAGAGATGTTAGAGATAGATCGAATGTTTTTGAACAAATCCTGTCTGATTTGGAAAGAAATAACATGTCTGAAAGCCCTAATTAGCTCAGATTGTTACCAAAGCAGAGTGCATGTAAATAATAGAGCAGGAGGGATATTCTTGCAGGGCAGCATGTGAGTGTGTTGCTTTGTTGCACAGAAGTCTGTTTTCACTCTGGAAAACCCCCATTTGGAGGCGTGAGGCCTGTGTGTGTAACCGGTGCAGGCAGGCGGCACAGCGAGCTGGGAGCACTCCCACAGGCTTACGGCCTGTAAGCACCTCCCAGAAAGCAACAGGGTTGTGGAAGGAAGTGGCTGAAAGAGGAACTGCACTGCTTTCTGCATTCTTCTACTTTGAGGCATCTCTGGCTGCAGCAGGGGCTTAACTTGACTTCAGGCACTTTTTTAAGTACGTGGTTCATAAAGTACCAAGTATGGGAGTTTGCTCGTGCTGGCATTGATCAGTAGGTCGCTAGTTGATCTGTGGTGCATTTGCTGTTAAATATAGGCATAAATAGCAAATTTAGTTACGTAGCGCTAAGCTTAAACTGAAATTGTCTATAAAATAATAGGGAAGTGGTAGATATGATTCTGCATATGTAGTAAAAGTCCAGAACATTTTTTTTTCTAGTTTCAGTTTTGGCACTAGATTTTATCCTGGAGTTTTTAAATATTCTTCATCCTGTTCTTTTTCTATTAAGGTTAATGTTGAAGAAGGAAAATGCGGAAGTCGCCATTTGACAAGTTTTATAAATGAGAATTATTTGAAGCTCAGGAATAAGTGAAGCTGAAATTTGAAAAAAAAGAAAGTGAATGCATGCTAATTATCAGACCAGAAGTCCCACTTGTAGAATATTGAGCAATTTGTGTGAAGTGGGGAAGATGAAAGAAGTCAGAATTTGAAACGGAAGAATGAAGAAAAGGAATAAAAATGAAGTTAAGATAAGAAGTAATCTGGAATCTGAAAGCACTACGCTAAGTAATTACTAGTCTGTTTATGTGTCCCTGTATATTTTGCTAAACATGCATGCATTATCTGTTTAATAGCAAAAGTACATGCAGGGTAAAGAAGTGTCTACCAGGGAAGAACTTCTTAAAAATCTAGGCAGTTCTAATGCCAACTGCCCGGACACATAGATATGAATTTTTACCATTTATTTCACTGGAGCTTGTTTACAGACCGTAGGTAAACCAGAACTTGTGTACAAATTAGGCTTTCAATATCTGCGTGCAGGAATCCCGTTCTGCTTCCAGAAGCGGAAGTGCTCATGGGTCTGGCAAGTCGGGGAGGCACACCCCTGCAAGATCTCGATCTAAGGAGGATTCAAGGCGTTCCAGGTCAAAGTCTAGATCCAGGTCTGAATCCAGGTGAGTTCCTTTTTACCTCTTCCTCCTCTTGGCGAGTCAGATGTCTTTGGATTATTATGGATTACTGTGTCAGAGGTGAACTGAAGTGCACTGCAGCCCAGTTCTGTTACCGAGGGTCATTGGTGATGGTGCATACGCAAAGAGGCTTGTGTGGTTTCAGAATTAGAAAGCCGAATGATCAAGTTAGATCTTGTTGCAGCCCTTTTTGAGAAGCATTCTGCTTTGTAGGCCTGTATCTCTGCTGGTCTGGTTTGTAGTTGGCCTGCCTCTGAAGTTTCTCTGCGAACAGTGGCTAGCTTCTGAGCCTGATGCTCCAGGAGCTCCGGGTTTTATTTTCCTCTTCACTGGAAGAAACTGACATGTCACCACATCTTATGTGTTAGGTGACGCTGTTCTTCACTGGAAGCACTGATGTTTTAGAATAATTGCTGATTCGTTCTCTGAGAAAGAAGCAGATAAGTATAATAAAAAACAGAACTGACCTGTCTTAGCATTTAAACATGTTCTTATTGAACTTGAAATTATCTGAAGAGCTCTAAAGATTGGGCAGCTTCCTAAGCTTCCAAAAAAGGTGTGGAGAAAGTAACTTTGTTATTTGTTCTGGAATTGAATGCATGAAAATGCTTCTAGGACTGGGTTACCAGTCCTTTGACTTATCTGCTAAGCAGGCTGCAGGCAGTGACAGCATCCCCCTTGAAACCACTAACAGACTTCTTACTGAGACACAAAATATGCCCATGGTCCAAAAATAAGGCAGTAAACGTCAGGACTGCCCACTTGGCATTGGGCTCACCATGGGTGTTGTGCAGAGGGTACATAATTAAAAAGTAAGGATGAAGAGGCTACAAAGCCTGCAGAAGGGTGAATGGCATTATTTTCTGAAGAGTCTAGAGAATTCAGTGCCGAGTGCAGGATGAATGTATTGATGGTACCTTCAGTCATTTGTAAGCATTCAGAGGAGAAAAACAAACAAAAGCTTGGGTTTCAGTGGTAGCGTTTCCAGCTGAGCTGTTCACAATGTGTTTTTGTGTGTAAGCTCTGAATTAGGTTTACCAGAGCCTCAGGGTCAGGGTGTGGGAGGGATAACATTTCTGGAAGACATCACGCAGTCACCCCCGATGGAAAATGATGATGTATATACTGTGCTTAGGCTGGATTGTAAGGATAGAATGAACAATCTGAAAGACTTTAATGGCAAGGTAAATACCTTCTCAAGAATGTTGACAGCAGAGGAACGAGGTTGTTTTTGCTGTATATTTCAGTCAGACACAACTGTCAAATCATACACTTAACCTGTAGTGCAAGAACAGAAATGTGAAGCTGAAGGAATGAATACTTGGTGTTGCCAGTAGTGATGGGATTGGAGGATGGCTCAGGAGAGGTCCTGTCCAAACTTCTGTTTCAGACAGACTCCTCTGGGTTTGGATGGTGTTCTTGGAACTTCATACAGTTGGGCTTTTAAAGGCTCTGTGGGTAGAGACCACACAGCTTCCTTGAGGAACCTTTTAGAGTGGCAAGCAAGTCAAGACCCAGCCCAGCATGTTCTTCTGCACCATAGTAACCCCTTGGGCTTCCTTAGTCTTTGAAGCGCTGCTTTTCGCTTGCAGAATAACCTCAATGCCATGTAGGAATGCAGCCTCACATAGTTTGAAATGCTGCTAGAGGCAAACACAAGAACTAGGCCTTCCAAGTCTTGCTGCTGTGATACAGTTTTTAAAGTAACCATGCAAATATTTCCATTTGCAAGGAACCTTTCAAATTGTACCATGGCATCTGACTTCTTTTTGATGAACAACAGTGAGTGCTTATGACTGCCACAGCTTCCTGAGCATTTAACAGCTGTCCTGAAAATACCTACAGCTGGAAATAACAAAAGGATCTTGTAAGCCTAAGATGGTTGGTTAGCAGAATTGTGAATTGTATGCAGAACCAGTATCCTCAAATCTTGATTTGAAGTGCCATCACTGTCATGAGCTCTGGCTCTCACCAGAGAGAGCATTGTGAAGTCTTTCATAGTGTGTGCTTGTTTCTGTTGCAAATATATTTTTGAGCTGCTAGCTTTATAAATGTGAACTTCTCTTAGGACCAAATCTGTGTCTTTGCATGTTTGTCCTTTGGGCTGTGGATACTTTTGATTTGAAAAATCCAAAGCTGTTTTTCTTGAAGTTTTCATCAGCAGAAACAAGAGGTATTCTGCCCAGGCTTGTTGTCTTTGCCTGGTTCTTTGTAATGTCTAAGCAATCCTTGATGAAGGAACATGGCTTTCAGCTGTGATGGTTTTGCAGCAGAGGAGAAAAATGGCAGTAGTGTTTAGCATTTAAGACAGCAATATGACCAGTGCCTATTTAAAATAAGCCTTGTTCTCTCAGTGGTTTATCTAGCTTAGAAGGGTCTAGCTTTTGTTCATTGTAGTGGGTGCTTTCTGGAATGTGGAACATCGATTCTGTGTTTGTCTTCAGGCTTCCTGTACCAGAGGCTGAGATGTCGCTGTGTGCACATGCTGAGTTTCTCATTTTATTATTTCATTGTCTTTTTATACAATCTTCCCTGCCTCCGGGAGGTTCCCTCTTCTGTTTCTTTCAATATTTTGTTCTTATACCCCACCCACCTTCCCAATTACTTGTTCTCTGTGCATACCTAAGTGTTGTAATGGGACATGCTGAAGTCATTTCTTCTGGAAGTGTATGTATTCTTCAAGCTGGGGAAGGCAAGACTTGCTGGGCTCACTTCTGAACAGGTCAAAGACAGATGCTTAACTGGTGACAAAACCTGATAGTGGATGAAGCTGTTAAATGCTCAGGAGGGAGTAAAAACTGGCTTGGATCAAGAGCATCGTTTGTCCCAGGGCAGTGTTTGGGCTACTGTGTGACACCGAGTCCTGCAGCAGTGGCTTCTGGGCTCAGTCGGCTTCCACAAAAGGGGAAGAGCGTTCAGGCCCAAATAAGAGCATGAAGATGAGTAACTTATGGCTAAGGACCTTTGGATATTAAACTGTTCAGTGCACTTCTTAGTCTTGCAGACATTTTCTTTGTAGCTGCATGGAATGCAGGTCATTCAGTGACTGCAAACAGCACACCACACTTGGGTGTAGCTGCTCCAGCGCCTGCCTAGCTGTTCAGGCAGGGCTGTCTGCACTGGGAGAGCTGAGGGCTTAGTTGGAGGAATTGGAGTGTTCATTGGCCTCATGGAGCTGGTGCTGTCAGTAAACACTTCTAAGTAGAAGCAGGCTGAAATTTGTGAGCAGTTGCACCTCTGCCTAAATACACTTGAAAAGTGAACATGTAAGCATGTACGAACAGCTGATGTTAAATAACTGTTAAAACAGTAAAAGGTAAATAAGTGCACTACCACTTAACTTCTTCAGTCCTGTTAAGCTCTGTTTTGGGGGCGTGTTGCAGATTCCTGTGTTTGTCATTATGAACTCTTTAGAAGAAATATTTGTCTATCTGTGTCATTGAAGGCAGTGCTATTCTGAGTGCTAGAGTGAGCAGAAGTGTGCACCTCTCCAGTTGTGCATGTGACAGTCACCTTTGCTGTTAATTCCTGTTCCTTCTTTCTACTAAGTCTTTTGGAGAGAATTTTCAGCTATTTTATTTTTACTTAAATACTGCTGTAAGTGCTGTGAATGTTCTGGGCAAAGCAAGTTCAAAGCTTTTTGAGGAATCGAAAGCCAGCCAAAATGTTGAAGCCCCTCTTTTTCAGTAATACGTTAAGACCAAGAGATCGGTCCTTGAGATTAATGACTCAATTGATTGTAGCTTAATCACGTGCCACCACAGGTTCTTAAAATGTATTTGTTCAGACTTCTGCTTATGACTCTCTGAGGTACTTTTGCGGGGTTCTGGAAGAAAAACACTGTCCCTCTTCTTTTTTCCTCAGATCTAGATCCCGGAGGAGTTCCCGCAGGCACTACACCAGGTCACGCTCTCGTTCCCGCTCTCACAGGAGGTCCAGAAGTAGGTCGTACAGTCGCGATTACCGGCGGCGGCACAGTCACAGCCATTCCCCCATGTCTACTCGCAGGCGCCACATTGGGAACAGGGTACGTGTGCTCTACATGCAGATGACTGCTGCGTATCTTCAAATCCGTGCGTTCGTTCGTCTTCCTTTTCTGTGGAATGCAACCTGCTGAGGTGTGTTTGAAAGATGAGTGCTGGCAGTGCAGGCTGATGTTGGTGTGCCTGCTGTAGTAAACGAGCAGATGGATGCAGTGAGGGCAGAGGTAGGATTAGGAGGGAGAGGCATTTGTCTTCCCTAGATCTAGAAAGTCTGGAAAACTAAAACATTTAATTTAAAGCTGGCTTAGTGGTTCATTAAGTAAGAGCTTGTAAAGCAACTAGAAAGCTGTTGAATCTCGGGTGACTGAGAGCAGTGGGATTCCAGCTAAAGCTGGCGAGGAAGCAATGGCTAAAATGTATGATGTGATCCATGCCTCTCTGTATCCACATTCAGCAGTCACCAGCATGTCTTTGGAGCAAAGACAGTATTTTTTTGTGTGTGCTGCCTCTATGGTTGGTACAGGGCTTCCAGAAATACAAAGTATTTCTATGAGAGAAGGATTTATGTCTGTAGGATTGATTAGAATAGAAGTGTCTCCTTCAATTTGACCCGGCTGTGGTCTCAGCAGTGTGTTTTTGTTGAAGCTCTGACAAATACAAACTTGTGCTATTCCTGGTGTAGCAAACACAGGTGTTTATTCTGATGCCTCTCTCTTCCTTTAGGCAAATCCTGATCCAAACTGTTGTCTTGGTGTGTTTGGGTTGAGCTTGTACACCACAGAACGAGATCTGAGGGAAGTTTTCTCCAAGTATGGTCCAATTGCTGATGTTTCCATTGTGTACGATCAGCAGTCTCGACGTTCAAGGGGATTTGCATTTGTGTACTTTGAGAACGTTGAGGATGCTAAGGAGGTAAGTTGCTGTGGCATGGACTGTGTGGGATGTTTGCTGTGTTTTTGGTTGCTGGGATGTATGTTTTATACCAGGATGTAGCCTGGGTAACTCACTGCTTGTCCTTAAAATGTGACACAGGAACCTCTTGTGTTAATTGCTTTCACTAGATGAAATAAGCATAACGCAAGCTAATGCAACGGTATCTTCCCTGCATTCTCAGAGCCAAAAATGTACTTCAGACCTCATGATAAAATGTCAGTGTTTGCTCAAAAGAGGCATCCTTTGTATTAGAGGAAATAGTGCAAGGCTATGATTCTGGTGTCTGTGTGGACTGGCTTGTATAATTCACAGAAGCAAACATCAACCTACTGTAGTGTGAACTGTGCCAACAAGAAAAGGAAAATAGAAACACATGTGCTCTCTTTTCTCTTAATTGTGTTCTTCCAAAATTCCATATGTGATCTTCTGTTTAATGTTAAGAGTACCCCAGACTGGTATTTCAGTGTTCTCAAATGCTCAGGTGCCCTAGGAAGGCATTAACATGCATTCTGCTTGCTTCTAGTGCTTCAGTTGTAAAGGGGAGAAAATTTCACCTAACAGTAAAAGGCCAGACAGGCTTTGTATTGAAATGATGTCTCTGCTGAACAACAAATTACTGAATATATGCTTACAATTGCTACAGAATGATCAGGGAAAGGAGCTTGCTAAGTGTATAAGTCTGCCCTCAGACCTGCCCTGGGTAGGGCCTTCGATTAGGCTTATCTTGTGCGTAAATTCCACTTTGTACCATCTGAGTGGCTATTTTTTTCCCCCCTGAAATTTGGCATAAGACTTCCATGGTAAACTGAAGCTTTGAATGTCAGCTGTCCTACATGGCAGGAAAAACAAAAACTATTTCAAATATTTTGTTGAGTATCTGCTTATGATTCAGTTATTACTGTATTCAAGGTTAGGGCAGGGTTTGAGGTTGTCTTTTGGAGCAGTGGGGGCTTCTGTGCTGTGTGTGAAGTTCCGTGTTGGAGCAGCTAAGATTCCTCGTAGAAGCATTTTCAAAGGCTCTTCTTGATCATATCAGAAACAGTGAAACAAGTGGTAAATTATGTTCCTCACAGACACTTCACACAATATAAGTCATGTTTAAGTAATTACTGAAGCTTATAGCCACGTAGCCTAGGATGTCTTAGCTTTTAGGCTCAGATAAATGTGAGGCATAAGCGAAATTTAGAACTGCCTTAACTGAGATTTTTTTAGGGCTTTTCTTAATATTCCAAGCAGTGGTTAGGAATTTGTGTAGGTAGTAAAGTTCATCCCTCCAGCTAACTGTATTTTATCTGTGCCTAGGCTAAGGAACGTGCCAATGGAATGGAGTTGGATGGAAGAAGAATCCGGGTAGACTTTTCCATAACAAAAAGACCTCACACACCTACCCCTGGAATCTACATGGGAAGACCCACTTAGTAAGTTACTACTGTGGCTTTTTTTTCCCCTGGAAGTGTAAGGGTCAGGATACATCATATCCTGTATTCTAAAAAACAAAATAACAGCAGCAAAACAATTTGTCAGTGGCTGATCTGAAGTCAGTCTAGGTTACAGTAAGCAGAAACTTGTGTCCACTAGTTAAGAAGTCCAAACATAAGTTGTCTGTACATTTAAGCCTGCAGTAAGAATTTTGGAGAATTTCTAAATTATTTCATGTTGTTTCTGAATGGTGGGTGTTTCCCTGTGTGCTCTCAAATACCAGTGGCTTTGCAAGCTCTAGTTTTCCAAGTGTCCCTCAACAAATACTACTGTGCAGCTCTGCTGCAGTTTGCCCTATCCATAGTGTAAACATTTGACAAAGTTACCAGCAATGTGAGTTGTTTTCCCAAGTAATCTTTCAGTTGTTTTCCCGAGATTTTCTGCTTACAGTGCTGTTGGCTGTGTATTGGTGTTGTATTGAGGCTCTAAGTTTATCTTTTTTAATGGAGAAATTGTTCCAAAAGCTTCCTGGGAGTTAGAAGTGAATGAGGAGTTGGTGCAGGCACATAGAATTCCTTGTGTGCCTGCCTTAAAACGTTGAGAGGTTTCAGAACAAAGAGGAAAGTAGCTGCTTTAAAGATGCAGCATTTTAAACAGCGCTGTTACGTAGTTCTGTTTCCATCCACAGCACTGGGAAGCACTCACACCGTCACTTCAACTGTGAGAATGGGGGCCAGTGACTGAAGTCATTTAAAATGACACATGCTTGACTGACTGCATTGCAAACAGAATTGATTGATTCGTTATTAAGTGAAATTCTCTGTTGTCACTTGCAGCGGCAGCTCCCGGCGGCGGGATTACTATGACAGGGGATATGACAGAGGGTACGACGATCGTGACTATTACAGCAGGTCATACAGGTGAGGCAACGGCTGTAGTGCTGAACTGCTTCACCTCCATTCTGCCACGGTGTGCCACGATATCTGTGCTCATTCCAATTGTGGGATCTCGGTACAAAAATGGCTGGTCAGTACAAATGAGGTTGTTCAGATATGAGAAATGCTTTGTGCTGTTTAACTTGAGCGTGGTTTGTTCTGCATTGCTTTTTTTAATTTATGGAAAACAAAGTACCGTTCTCTGCACTCACATTTTTTTTTAAATGCTGTTTTTTTTTTCCTTTTCCATCGTTAAAATGATGGGAATACAGGTGCTGATCTGATACTTGAGTTTGCATTTTAATGCCAAATTTAAATTAGTTTTTGAATGACAATGGGTAGGATGCTTCAGTACTCACCATTATCCCCTATGAACAATTATGACATCTCAAATGTTGCCAAAGCAAAGAATCAGATCTTACAGGATTGCTTGTTCTGTACTGGAAGTTTGTTTGGCAAGGCTTTTTTTAGCATACTGTTATCAGCTCGGATGAAGATGTTCTACTGCAGGCACTTGGGCTTCTTATTTCTGTCTGCAGTCTTGGGTTTTCAATAGTACAGTGGTTAACTTCCCTGATAGTGCTGAATTTCCAGGTGGCAACATAGATTGCTGGGGGGCTAGTAAAGTTGATAGAAAATCTGTTGAAAACTTGGTTGGCACTTAATTGGTTTTGGTGACACAGCTGGCTTTATATTCTGTGTTCTCTATTACGGAACACAGGAGGAGTTGTGTCATGTGAAATTCCTAGAATTTGACTCAGACACGTCAAATTGGGCACGAAGATGACACTTCATTTTTTTATCTAATTGCCCAATGTACCTTTGGTTGCAGAATCATAGAGCCGTTCCGCGTTGTTTGCTGTGCTTTAATGCATCAGCACTGGGTACATCTGTGACGGTTGCTTGATGACAATGTTTGGAGAAGCACGAGTTTGAATTACGTTCTCTTATAGCTCACAGACAATGAACAATCTAAATCCTTGCAGTGTGCTCTTCTGGATGTAGAAGAAAATGTTCTGTGTTTACATTTGTATGGTCCTGAGGACATTCGTATGTCACTGAGGACAGCCGTCTCCTCTTTCCTACTGCTCGCAAACACTTGTTTTTCCCAGCCTGTCATTGTGGATTTGGTCTGTTTCTCTCTTCCCTGCCTAGCTGTGCTTCTGCACTGCAGGGGCCAGGGGGAGGATCAAGGTGCCTCTGCATCATGACAGTGAATGCTGGAGACATGAGTGCTTTGCTCATAGTTCTGGGAAAGAGTATTTTCTGCCTTTAACAATCCATTTCCGTGCTACGTCAGTGGCTTTGAACATCCTGGAGAAATGCATGCCTGTTATCAAGGTTAAGCTGCTACAAGGACAAAGATGTATTGGTTTTCATCTTGCCAGCAATTGTACATAAGCTTCCACATGAAGTAGACGAGACCCAAAAGTAGCTCTTTGACCAAGCATTCTGCACAAGGTACAAAAAATTGACAATTATCCTCATCTTGCTTAATGTCCTGAAGATAATGAAATGAAAGCTAGCAGGCAAAACAACTGAAGCAGCTCCCAGAAATGTTGGGGAACAGAGAAGTCTGTTTCTCCCATTTTTTTCATTCTTCCTTCTGGGGGGAATTGTGATAAACTTACAAAAATGCCAAAAGCATACAGAGACCAGCAAAAAACAGGGCTATAGAATGTTTGATAATAGTTTTATGTTGTCAGTTTCTTGAACTTGCTCGTGGTACAGATCTCCTTTTACGAAGGATTTATCAAGGTTTTCTGGCTGTACTTTTTTTTTTTTTTTTTCCCAGTTGTAACTTACTCCTCCTTTAGATTCCTCACTTTAGATTATGGTATAACATGTCTTTACTCCTTGTGGTTCCTCATGGTGAACTGTGGCTCAGATCTTTTTGTAAAACATTATCAGAAGTTTGAATTTTTTCCCTTCTGAGAGCATACTACTGAGAATAGATGCAGAGACTGAGATTGACTGTGTACAAAGAAGAGTACGTGAATTAGGGGAAGAAAAGCAGGCCTGCAAGAAGTGAACTGCTTCAGTTGGTGCTGGTTTTAGTGCTAGCAGAATTCATAGCCACGTTGGTTCAGCTCTTGCAGGCAGTTGTGCTCCTGGCGATGTTCTGACCTTCCTGCGTGCTCTCCCATTCTGTGTCTGTCATGTGATATTCAGGGCTTTGGGGTGGAAATACTCAGAGTATTGACAGTTCTGCAGGAGTGATTTCCGTTCCCTAAAATAACAAATCTTTGTGAAGCTCACTGCAGAACCTTTCTAATATCTTCTCAGATACTGATATAGCAGGTAAAGCAGATACGAAAAGATTGAAAGTAAGCCACAGATGTTTGCACGTGTCTGCTTTACAAATACCATGGTCTTTTCTACTTAAATACTTAGTAATTATCCTGCAGGTATTGCTTGTTTGAAGGAGAGAGCAGAGTAGTGTTGCATAAGCTGTGGGTTCTCCCTTGAATAAGGGAAATGGGGTAAATAAATTCTAAATCCTGAATTGCAAGTGTTACACGGTACTGCTTAACCCTAGAAAGTCAATGAGCAATAATTACTTTACGTTTTCTTCCTTATTTGCTTTCTGTGCAGTGAAACTTGAAGGGAAATACAATGCAGGATGGAGTTATCATGCTAAAGTTTTTCTCATGTTGCTGTGGAATACTCAGCCTGCAAAATAGGGATGCAAAATAATGCACACTACCTAATCTTCCAAATGGAGAAACTTTGCTTTGGGGGGAAAAAGTAAAATAGGAGACTTGTTGGTTAGAAATGTAGTGGATTTTCTTGACTGTCGTATGATTGCTGCCTTTTTGAGCTGTGATAGTCACACCTGCTCCATAATCCAAACTTGATTCAGTAATGCTTTGCTATATATCTAAATCTGTGGAAGTAGCAGATCAGCCACTGAATATTGTGTAAGTATTATAACCTGTTGTTCAGTTCCAGGTGACTTCTGTACAAGAAGTTCTGGAGATGCCCTGTTTAAGCGTGATGAAGTGTTAAGGGTGTCTACCTCAGCCGTGGTGTCACCTTGGTCATCTTTCCTTAGCAATCTGATTTCAAGGCTTAACAATATTGCATGCTTTGAATGGATAAGCATCTGAGAATGGGAATGCTTTTAAAAGCAGAGGCTTCATACTGCTCTGAAATCACTGCTTGTTGAAGAGTATGATGTAAAACACAGTATTGGCCAGCGGAGTGCAAGACCTCTGCAGCTGCACCTTGCCACTTTCAGTATTTGGCGTTCAGCTAACACCCAGGAATCAAAAATGAAGGTAGTAGGGAAGTAACAAAGTATTTATCTAGTTAAGCTACCAAATGTTTTCTTCTCTTCACTTTATCATATGATTGAGCGTGTTTTTTACTTGCATGGTGAGCTTCTTTGTTAAATTTTCAAAACTGTTCTGCTTCTGTCTTCACAGAGGAGGAGGTGGAGGAGGAGGAGGAGGATGGAGAGCTGTTCAGGACAGAGATCAGTTTTACAGGTATGCCAGGAAAGCTTTTGGTGTCCGGTAAAAAATGGAAACGTTCTTCTGCGTGGCATCTTTGGGATATTTGAATCGAGTTTGAGGATATCTTCAAATGCAGTAAGAGCAACTGGGCTACTGTTGAATGCTTGAGAATCTTGGATGAGCAGTGGAATTTATTTCAAAGGCTTCCTCATTATGTGAAGGGGTGAGGTTAGTATGGGGGCAGGTTAGTGCAGCTTTACACAAGAAAAACTTGTGGTCTGTGCCAAGAAGTTAATGTCCTGAATAGTTTTTGTGAATGACTATTAAAGGGATTGGAGAAACTAGGTAAGGAACTGAGAAACTTGTGGTTGGATTGAAAAGGTATCCCAGAATTCTTCATCCGGACAAGTATTTCAAACTCAAAGTGTGATTGGGCTTTTGATTTGGGTGTTTGGGATGCTTTTGGCTTGAAACGGAAAACTCATATGTGTAAAATGTGAATGTGAATTCTCCTAGTGAATGTAGGAGAGCTTATTTCCTTTACTAGTCCATTGTAATGTCAATCTGGCCCTTTATTCACAAAAAGACTATTTGAGTTTTATTAAAGGTTTGCTTTTTCTCCAGTAGAAGCATTGATCAGGTCTTCATACTCTCGTTAGCTTTCCTCAGTACGCTATTGATTGAGATAACAGTATCTACATAGAGCTGCTGCCACTCATCACCACGGGGTTTAACAGAGGGGCTGTTCCTGTGGCCTTGTTTTGCAGGAGGAGATCACCATCCCCATATTACAGCCGAGGGGGATACAGATCTCGATCCAGATCTCGGTCCTATTCACCTCGTAAGTAATTCTAGTGCTCTCGTGTCAAAAGCTCGTTTCCACTTCGCCTCAACTTCTTCCTTTGAGCTTTCCCATCCCTAATGGCTTTAGTGTGGTTGTATTTATGTCGTTATGAATCACAGTTCCCTTTAAAGTTACATTGAGCAAGTGGCAACCTTGAGGGTAGAGCAAATATTTAGATTGCAACAAAATAAACTAGGTAATGCTGCTTTTTTTTTTTTTTCTTTCTTGGTAGTGCTTCTTTCTTGGGAACTCAGATTGGGCAGCAGTTTGTAGCATGTTGAGAGTTTGGTGAAGTGTAGAACAGCAAAGCTGAACTCACAGGTTTGGATATTGGGACTAAATTTGCTGATGCAACATGGAAAAGAGGAGGCTAACTTAAGCCAGCACCTAAATGGTGCTTTTGTCAAAGCAGCTTATTTGCATGACAGATAAAGCTGTATTTTGGCAGAAAGTTAAAGATGCAATAGCATTCCTAGCATATTCCCCTCGTAATGGATACACTTAGGATGAGTGTGCTGTGTTCTCAGCATTCTCATATTTACAGTCTGTGTCCAAAGGAAGACAGGTGGGACTGTGCTTTTACTGATACTGACTTTGGGGTGGGAATACTCAGAGTATTGACAGTTCCAGCAAGAGTGATTTCCGTTCCCTAAAATAACAGATGTTTGTGAAGCTCACTGCAGAACCTTTCTAGTATCTTGTAAGAAGTATCTCTGATATGACAGTGCTTTTACTGATACATGGGGAAACTGGCTTCAGCCCCAGATACAGGGCACATAGATCCTGTGTGCTGAAATGTCAGCCCTGTGTGTCTGACATGATTGGGCTTACAGAACAGTGCTGATGTTAAGCGTTGACAGGCAGATCATTGGGCACTTAGGAAATTGATGCGGACTGGAGGTGTGCAAGTGAAATCAGAACTTTGAAGATCTGCTAGTGTTTGGAAGTCTAATCCTGTGTATTTTTTTTCTTTCAGGTCGCTATTAAAGCATGACATGTAGAGGAATTTCTAGCTACAGCCTTTGAGTTGAAATTGCGAGTTTGTGGACAATATTTTTATTGTCTCTTCTGTTTAAACAAGTGAACAGTGCCTAGTGAATAGGTGACTTTTACACCTTTTATGAAGAATACTTCTGTGATGCTGTTTCATTCTGCATATTTGTGTAGTTTGGTGCTTTGTTCCAAGTTGTGTTTTGAAAGGAGTATGTTTTGCATGTATTTTTTTAGTCTCAATTTTGACTCCTGAAAGGTTTCTATTGTAAAAACAAACTGTTCAGTTAGTTTTTTTCTACTGATTCCAAGGTATTCTAAAGATCAAAACCTGTGTAAAGTGCTTTCAAAAAGTGAAAAATAAAATAAAAAAAGTTTGATTTTTTTTTTTTCTCTGTGCTTTTGACAAGTATAAGTTACGGGTTGAAAAGAGACTCCCACACGTACACGATATTCCATAACCTATGACACAAAGTTCATTAGTGAAGTTCACACAAAGGTTGTGTTGTTGGGTAATTGTTTTCTAATTGTGATACCTTCAGGTATGTAAATCCAGTGCGTAGAGATGTCCATGTGTAACGTGCACAGTAGCAGGAGGAAGGAGCAGCACTCAGGGATGGTGTACACATGGAGCAGCACAACTTAGCAACGTACGGTAATGCTGCTGAGCTTTGGGTGGGGGGGTGAGCTGCTAGCAGATGCTTTATCCCACGTAAGATGTAATCCTCTAAGGAGAGCTCAAAAGGGGGAGAGGGTTTCCTGGGAAGTAAATAGCTGCACGCTTATGAAAGGCAATGTAGGAACACACAGACTGTGTTGATTTTTTTCCTTTTGAAAGTCCATCTTTACCTGCATATGTGGGTAAAATGATGGAGGCAGTATGACTCAGTGCTTTCCTTTCCATTTTCTACTCAAAACAGTCAGAAGTGCCATTTTTGCCTACTAGGATTCATGAATATCATACACATAGAGGGAGATTACTTGCAAGATTTGGGAACAATGTGGAACTACATCTAACTGGAGCAGCCCCCATCCCAGTAGCGTAGCTGCCTGTATCTTGTAGTAGGCCTGGAGTAAGTGCAGTTTAGTGCTAGCAAGTCAGAGGTTTCTGTGGAGTTTCTTCCATGAGGTTGCACCAGAGGGAAAGGATCGATGATTGGGAACCTGTTAGTGCATTCTTACTTAGAAAATACAAATCATGGTTGTATGATCTGCTGTGCTGGCTGTCAGCAATAGAGAGTGCCACCAAGGCCATCACCAGTTGGGATTTGAGTGGTAAGGCATTGGTGTGAGCTTGTTTCCATCCCCTTTCCAAACGCTTTAATTTAACAAGTGCTTACGTACCCATGTAGGATCTGAGCTACACCCCAGTTCTTTTCAGGGGCAGTCATTTGTCCCTGAATCTGTTAGATTTTTAGAAGACTGGCCGCATACCATCTTACTTGCTTTTCCCTTTTGCTCTCTGAAGCAAACTTCAGCACATTCAGTGCCACTGCGTGAGGGAGAGATGGTATTCTAGGGCCTGAAGAAATGAGCCCTACCTGTGGCATCTTTGCAGAGGCCAGGAATGCTGACATCAGTGTGCCAAATCATCTCACAAAGGGAAGTTTCTACAGCTACTGAGGTATTCTGTTCTTTATTTCAGTTTTTATTGTATCTATAAGAATTATCTTTAGCACTGATTATTTTTAATTTTTAGTAACAATCTCCCCAACCCAGCCTACATCTATTCAAACCTGTAGCAGCATTCCATGCTGGAAGATGGCATGCAGCCATTTACCCATTGCAGCTTGAATCCCTGTGCATTGTTCCTGATCAGTGCAATCTCTAGGGTTGCGGTTAAGGACACAAGAATGGGCTTTTCCCCTCAAGGTGGATTTGCTGCATGGTGTGACTTTTCTGCTTTGCGGAGCAGGGAAGCTGTTTGTTCTTTGGACCACGTTTTATTAGTCACTACCTTGTACATCCTTTGACTCATGGAACTGGGATTGACGAATGCAGTGAGGAATAGGTGTTCTCTGGTAAGCTTTTTCATGTTTTAGTAAAATGAGGATTGCACTATCTGCAGTGTGCTTCTTGGCAACTGAATTTGTCTGATGGCCTGTTGCTGCCAGAAGGGCATCTTCCCACTCCTACCCCACACTCTTACACCTGGTGGTTCTCAGAAGTCCTAAATCCATGCTAGTAGGGTCAATGCATCCAGAGCTGGTCAGGATACATCTGCACTGCTATCAGAAGAGCTGCTTATCTGGGTGTTTCCTGCTGCTGACACTTGAGCTGCTTGTCAAGCCCAGAAACAGCCCCTGGTGAGCTGCTCCCCAGTGTGTGCAATGCTGCCCTGTTGGGCAGGAGTGACAGATTGCTGCGGTATGCGATGCACTTCTGAAACAAGCCTGAATCACTGCGGGATGTCCGCATGCTCTGCCAGCATTGGGCACAGAAATTGACCAAGCAGGGAGAAGCCTATCCTGAACTGCAGAAGCTGGATTGTGGTAGTGCATTTGTGCACCAGGGACTGCAGGAAAGGATGGAAAGGCTGCATGGAATGATAGCCCTGACCTCCACCATAGCGGGGGCTGCAAAATGCAGACTTCTCTGTGCAGTCTGCTGAGAAGAAGCCTTCAAGCCCTGCTCGGGACGTGCTGCTAGTGACATTTTAGTCAGACTGCTGTAGCACAATCAAAGCAACATCTGTTGGGTGGATGCAAAGTGTCCTGCATTGACCTTCTTTCCTGCAGACACTGCAGCAAACAAAGTCTTAAGTGCGTGGAAAACAAAACAATGTGAAGGTTACGGGAAAAGCTGATAGGTAGCTGTGATTATGTGGACCAAGGTCTGCACTGGGGGTGGATGGAAGAGCTGCAGAGCCAAGGTGAGCTCAGCTGGGTGAGGAGCTGTCAGGATTTGGGGTTCTAAGGAAACCAGGTGATGTTTGTAACCCTGTGAAGATGAGGCAGAGTCCCAGTATGGTTCCACGTGGAAGGAACTTTCAGAGATTCAACCCTCTGCTGTGAGCAGGGGTATCAGTGCTAAGGGGAGTTACAACATATTGCTCTCCTTGGGTGTGAGGAGGGGCTCGGATCCCTGTGCTGGCCTGGCTGTTCAAGCCACACCTCCACACACAGGG